GACACAGCCAAGGACTGTCTTGGTGTCAAAGGAAAACACAACAAACGCTGAAGAGGGAAGTGCTAATTTGTGTTTCTAAAGCATGTACTCTGGCAACTCCCTGCTCTGTCTGCTCTGCACACAACATTGAGGGTTTGCTCTTTGCAATCAGAACTGCAGCCAGTGGTGTAATGGCCACTGTTTGGTACTTAAATGCCTTAATTAGATATGAAAACAATTAGAGAAGACTATTCTCTTCTTACATCCACAGGCCTCAACACAGATAGAAAATGGGGCAAACCCATCCCATTATGTTCTTTTGGAAGCTTGACAGATGAAAGCAGGACAGCCCAACTGGAACACTGTGGCATAAAGCAGCTGTCTGAAGGGATGGAGAAGACAGTGTAACTGTTGGGACAATTATGAATCCTTCATAATTGCTTATTATGGCAAAGCAACCCCAAGGCAGCAGCCACTGTCACACTGTTGCTCAGACACATTTCCAGACAAAAATCCCCACTCAGCACTTTTGCAGCATTTCCACACTGGGGATTCTGGAGGCAGCTTCAAGGGGAGGGCTGGGGAAGCAGAGAGCTGGATCAGATGATAACAGAAAACAGTTTGCACTGAGGCTTTGGGGGGACAGACAAGAGATGAGCTTGAGCCAACTCTGGTTCTGCCCATTAACCTTCCAGGCAGGTAGGAACACTACAAAGAGCAGATACAGAACACAGTAAATAAGAAAAAGCTTGTTGAAGGCATAATATGAACATGTGTCAACAATGGTGTAGATAAATGCTTCATGGGACACAGACTGGAGAACAGGAGGTGCTGTAGGTGACATGGCATGTCTTGGGGCTCTTCTATGTCGCTGAGAACTCCACAAAAAAAATTTACAACCCAACTCCTTCCCTCCCACTCCCAAGCATTCTTCAGCTCTATCCAGCTTTGGCCAACTTCTTGTTTCTTCCAAGCGTCCACAGAACAGCCAGCAGCAGTTTCTAAAGCAGCCAAATACCATATGCAAAACTTTACAAAGTCTCAGTCTTTTGGTGCAGCTGGGGATCTGGATCTTGTGGGGAGAACTGTCTGACCTACAGTATACATAAGCATGACTGTACTTTGCTCAGAGCATGTGAGTTCACATGGGTCACCAGGAAGCACAGGTCATGTCCCACAGTCGTTGGGCTCATCTTGAAGCATTTCACCAGACAGCAGCTCTGAAGCAAACCAGCTGAATTCCTTCACTCCATCCTTTCACAGCAATGCATTGATGCATATCCAAGTTGAGCTTGACATTTATTAATAGCTTCAAATGTTGACGCCAGAGAGTTTGGTGATTGCTGCTAGTGAAGTTGTCAGATTCGCTTCCTAAGCAATCTAGAAAGTGCTAAGCTGCTTGTTCAGCAGTCCATGTTTTTACCAACTTCCCTTCATTTACATGGAGAGACACATCTATTTCCATACACAGCATGTCAAGAACATTTTTGAAGGCAACAAAGTAAGTCTGAGACCAAGAAAACTATTCAGGTATAAATCCAATTTTAATTTTCAAGCTCACTTCTAGCTCTCACATTCAATGCAAGGATCAAAAACTGGAGGTTTCAGAGTATCCCCAGTTTCTGATCGTTTTGGCAGCTGTCAGAAGGTAACTTCCAAAATCCACTTGTTTCAGAAGCTCTTCCCTACCTTGTGGTCCCAGGTGAACACCATGGACTCTCTTAACAGCTTTCAACATCATTCAAACCCAGTTCTTTGGCAACAGTTATACAGAGCATTGTGCGTATATAAAGAGCTTATAACAAAACTTCTTTTACATTCTAATTGTCTTAACCTTCACAGAAGTATTAAAGTGCTCAATCAACTCTGAACAAACCCTCCTTCCCTAGTCAGCTACTTCCTGGAAACGCCTGCACTTAAGTCAGCAAAACCAGAAGCAAACAAGAAGAGAAAAGGTATGAAAAACCAATAATCCTCTGTAGGATCATTACAAACCCTTATGAGACAAGAGGCCTTGAGTCTCACATCTCCATATTTTGAGACCTGGGTCCAAACTTCCAACCAGTCTAAGCCAGCACAATCTTTTTTTTCCCCCCAAGTTGTGCTGGTTTCCCATCAGTTGATTTTTTTGGCCCCTGATTTTGGTAGAATGAAAACTCTGCAAAACAAACCTACTGATGCTACAAAGAAAATACAAACACTGAAGTCATATTGGTAAAGCAAAATAAAAGATATACACAAGTGATGGATATTTAACCCCCTCAAGCTATCTGGATTTTAAATTATCTCAGCAACATTTGACACTATCTGAAATTGATGCTTTCAAAGAGGCTTTAAACAGGGACATTTTTGGTCCTTCAAAGTGAGAGGAAAGAGGGTACATTTCAAAACTATTTCCTCTGGCAAGACCTGCATGCCAGTTCCCTCCACTATACTCTGTGCTAGAAAAATCTCACCCAGAGCCTCTGCTCTTCCTCAGAGAGAACCAGAGCCACAATCCCTTGGGTTCTCCCTTCCTCCAGCTACAGCATCCAAAATATGATTTAACCTATCCCACAAAGTGACGTTTTCCCCCTGCAGAGAGCTGAGACACCAGAAATGCACCCCCAGGACATGCGTGTTTTACGGTTTACTCAAGCAGAGGATGACACTTCTGACTGTAGCTTTGGTTACATCTTTTGACATCTGTGGGAAAAGCCTGTTATTTCAGCCTCATCAGGCCTTGCACTCCCTCTCTTACAACAGGTACTGAACTGTTTGCTGTCACCTGCCCTTTTTCTGTTGACTGAAGATCAGACATACTTCTACCACCTCTGAAATCCTGTTTGCTGACTCTTTGACCTTGTGATCTCACCACAGAAATGACTCAAAAGCCAGGAAATATTGAGGAAGGTGGTCAGAAACCAGGCACAGATTTATACCTGCTGTCAGTGTCACTTACCAGACACAGCATGAGTTATCCCTGCTGTCTCCAAGGCTGATGGCACTGCCTCCTTTGATGCACTGTGGTGCTTGAGAATTCTCAGCAGTCCCACAGGTTTAGGTCATGTTTCTAAGATTACAAGATGTCTTGCTTGCTAAGGTGAGGGCTTTTTCCTGCAACTTCTCAGGGATATATAAACCATCACCATGTAGGGAACATTCTTACTGCTCTCCATCCAGCATCAATACGAAGATGAAGGGGTTCATAATAAGATGAAAAAATTAGTTGTTCCTATGTGCTTGAGTGCTGTAGGCAGCTACATAAAGATTAAATATCTTCTGATATTTAGTGCAAATGCACCAAATCTTCAGTGGCTTGAGCCTGGCTTAGTTTTAGCATAGAAGCTTTTCATCCAATGCCTGCCTTCCTCATTACAAGGTTGGTCTTCCTCATCAAGCAGAGGATGAGGTGGGAGAAACATCCCATCTGTGGGGCATGTGCTGATAAAAACTCTGCACCACTTACTGGGCAAGCAACTGATAAGAAACATCTCTCTGTGCTAATAATATTTGCATTTAATTTTATATTATTCTTCTTCCCTCCCTTCTATTGTTTTGAAAGTTCATTATTGAGATCCACAATGTTCTGAACACTTTACCTGTGATCTGCAGTGTGCAGCAAGGGACAAGCACTGAACTCAAGGGCAGCTTGTTTCACAGTACTCCAAATAAGAAAACTGACCATAGTACAAGCAAAATTAAATAAACTGAAATATAAAAAGACAGTTGAAGTTAGATTCATCCAGAAATATAATGTAACATCTGGGAGTAGAGAAAACTGGAGATTAGCTACAAAACAGAAACAATGAAATGACCAACAAATATTGATTAGGAGAAAGAGGAAAATTTTCATTGCATTCTGTACATTAAAATTAAATGCAAAATTCACATGTTGGAGCATCGAGACAGAATGATGAGGGTCTCAAGCCACAGGAAGAAGAAAGCAAAGAAACACCTTGAATAAAGCAACACATGAACAAAACCAGTAACTGAGCAGCTTCAAAAGGAAAAAAGTGACCATATCTCAAATGAGAAAAAGCAGCACTGAAGCAGAGAACAAATATATGGTCAAGACATCATGGGTAACACTGACCGCACAAAACACTTTGGATATTTGGAAAGAATCAGGCCTATTTGTATCTCTATGCAAAATATATACACAAATCCATATGTATATATGTACACATAGGCACTACTGTACATATGTATATGCAATCATTAACACAACTGCCCTTTGACAAGTTTCAGGCTCTAGGTGCAAGCAAAAACGTTGCAGTTGTGCAAAACTACAATTCTGTGTTTGATTATCGAGAAATAATGGTAGAAGGATGCAAAATAATTCCCAAATAGCTTAGACACAGATGCAATTTCATCAACACCACCATGAGAGCCCAACATCAATGTTTCCAGCTCATTTGTAGGAATTAAGTATTCATCCAAAGCTGTGGATTGTATCAGTACATATTACATCTGTTTCCAAACCCACTAATCTGAAAAAATTGGCAGACATCATTCCTGACATCAGTGGTTTAACATGAGGCCATTCCACCCAGAACACCAATTTGGGAATACTGGCTGTATGGGAAATTGAATTCAAAGGCCAGAACAGGACTGTCAGTGAAAGAAGGGTCAGTTGCTGTCCTTAGTGTTTGGGAAGAAAAGGATGTGGTGCATAAAGAAAGAGATTCCCCCACCCTGAAACAAGGGAACACATGACAAATCCAAACACATGCTCCAACCATGTACAGACATGCTGATCTTTGGGGATTCTGGTTTTGGGATGTGGAAAGTAGCATTTTCCATAAAGCTTCCTTGCCTCACAAGCTCCAAAGAGCATTGTCCTCCCAAGTCCAAGGCTGTTTTGGCCTGACACACCAAGGCTCTGTGGATCTTTGACAGATGTGCATTACCAACACCGTGTTAGAGCAGAAAGAAAGTGGTGAAAGAAAGAACTGTAGTAGATTGTCCTATGCCTTGGCAAAGCCTCCAGCTGGCTCCAAAAGAGCTGTCCCTGCTGCTCCAAGTGTGGAGGATCCCATTTAGTGCTCTGCATCCATAGCATCCAAGTACTTGGCTTCGATGATCCTAGGCAGCAGGTTATACCTAAGGTGGAACCAGCAGAGAGAGAGCATTAGTGCTTGTTTGTTGCCATGTCACACTGTTTGCCTGTTGTAAGACTCTCAGTTGAGTTTGTCCATGAGGTTCACTCAGCTGAAGGGGAGATGTGAGGGGACAGCAAAAACAACCAATCCTGCCAGCAAATACAGCATTTATAGGAGCAACAGTGTGAAGCTCCTTCTGAAAGAAGCCTCCTCCCTTCAGCTCAAAATGGAAAGAGAATGTCCTCATCCTCACAGATTAAGTCACTTAGAGCATTCTGTCACCACAAAGTCTTCAAGGTGCCAAAAATGTACCATCTCACCCCACCCACAGCTACACTCCTGCTTTCTGCTGGGGACACAGAAGCTTCCTGATACCTCCAGTTTGCTAATGCATGTGTTACTCTGCCAAAAATCACCATTCATTTCTAATTTCTACTGTCTTTAGCACTTGTTGGCTCAAAGACCTGCATACAAGGGTTCTCCCAAGTACACCAGGTCACTCCTTTCAGTTCTCACCACAACAAAGCTTTATTAGAAAACCTAGAAGCTTTGGTCTGTGGACAAGCACCAAATACATCAGCAAGACATGTGACCATGGCAAGAGGCTAAAAGGAGCCATGACTCCATCCCTACACCTGGTGCCTGGATTCTCCATTGGATCATGGAGACAGTGACTCCCTTGCTTCTGGGGTTTGTTTTGTTTTTATTTGATTGTTTGCAAGAACATCCTCACGAATGAATGTATTTGGGTGAGAAAAATGTGGTGCCGTAACAATATGCTCTGAAGTTGTTGTCATTAAATCCCACTCCATATTTAGGGTGACATTTTCCCTTGTTTAACAAGGAAGCTATCCTAGGCACAAAGCACTAGAAAGCTAGTTTGAGGCTTCACTGGCTGTGCAAGAGATTCCAAACATCACTCACTACTGAGAGGTACCAGGATCACCTTGAAGAGACCTGTCATAGAATAAAATGCATGAGAGCATTGAGAGGACAGATAAACATCATAGAGAACTTGGAAAGAAGGTAGTTCTACTCTGAGCAATCGAAAACTAGTAATCCAAAAGTTCTGAAGCAAAGCCAGGAGCTGGGGATACACAAAGGGATCTTATTTTCTTCCAATAGGCTGTTCTTCACTGCAATAATGAGTAGACATCAGTTCAAGACATACATTGAGGGGCTGGAGCACATTCAGAGAAGGCCAACAAAGCTGGGGAAGGGTCTAGAGAGTAAGTCCTATGAAGAGCAGCTGAGGGATCTGGGGGTGCTCAGTCTGAAGAAAAGGAAACTCAGCAGGGACCTTCTCACTCTCTAACAATTCTGTGACAGGGGGCTGGAGCCAGGTAGACGTTGGGCTCTGTTACCAGGCAAACTAGTGATAGGACAAGGGGACATGGCCTCAAGGTGCATCAGGGGAGGTTCAGGTTGGACATCAGGAAGAATTTCTTCACAGAAAGGGTGGCTCAGTCACTGGAAGGGACTGCCCAGGGAGGTGGTGGAGTCACCATCCCTGGAGGTGTTAAAGAAATGACTGGATGTGGCATTTAGTGCTCTGGTCTAGTTGATAAGGTGATGGGTGATTGGTTAGAGGTTAGACTATGACCTTGGAGGACTTTTCCAACCTAAATGATTCTGTGAAATTCATTATCTTTAACATTAACGCTACACCAGTTGTCCCTCACCACTGACAATGCAAATCATGGGTTTAATGTTGTTGGACTGATGGAGAAGTGTCTTTGAGACAGGCAAGTAATGTGGCTGGTGCACTGGTGGGACACTGAACCATGACTCATCTCTGATTCTTTACTTTCACCCTTGGCTACTGTCCCATCTCCCCTTCCTCCCTTCACTTCAAGAAAAAAAACCACCAAAGGAGAATATATTTAATTTCTTCTCCTCTGTCTCATCTATTTAGAGTGCCAAATGTTTGGGAAAAGTCATTAACTACAGAGCTCATGGATCACGGTGCTGCCTTCTTGGCTGGAAGCCACAGAACTACATGAAGGCATAAGAAATCAGAGAAAGGAAAGCCAAGGGCAGATTTCTGTGCTGTACCAGGTATCAGCATCTTCCCCTAAGCACAGGGCTGATTATCCAGCTACTAGAAAAAGCTGCTCTGGAAAGTGAAATGAGCCACAGACAGAGGATAAGGTGACAGTGTCTTATTTACTCAAAAGAAGATATATTTGCACCACTAAATTATCTAGTTCTTAGTACAAAAATCAGGTTCTTTGACAGTATTCACTTCACACTAATTTAGCTTATTACACTACATTCAATACTTGACTATTTGGCAAAGAGCGTCCCACATTTTCTTTTCTGTACTGAGCTGCTCTGAGTGGAGACCTGCAATTCCCACAAGAGTCAATCATCCAGCACTGCACCCAGTAGGAATATTTACCAGCCACCAGTCACCCAGAGCAATGCCAATGTGAAGGGCAGGTAAGAGACTCTTAGCAGAGGAACAATAATTTCAGTGTTTTCCAGGACTGTTTATCTTTAAAATTCCAGCCCAAATAACTCTAACCTGATCCTGTTGAAAGCCATGGTACCTCTGACATTTGCTTTTGTTTTAGAAAGAACTGGACCCATCTCCATCAGCCAAACAAAACACCACACCAGAAGCCTTTGTAGGTTATCACTTGGTAGCCCTGAACTTTGAGATCAGAGGGACAATCTCCAAGCCTGCAAATTCAAAGTCAACCAGATATCACTGGTTGATTTTAGGCCATGTTGACCTAAAAATAATCAAATGGACTGGAAACAGATCTGTTCCTTCCCACACCTTATTATGGTTTCTCATTACATCCAAAGGATTGAGAGCATAAATGATTTAACTGGAGAATGATGGGCTAATGCTAATGAACACTGAGGAAGAAATTGGTCCGATTTCTCAACAATTCTCTCTCCAGACTGCAAGATATTGTGGGATCCTCCCAGTTTTAAAGATAAGTTTTGAGACTAAATGCAGCCAGTTTGACTTAACTGATCATTGACAATAGCATTCAGCAGTGCAGGTGGTCTGGAAGGTCACCACAGCACTGGATAAACGATAAGGATTCCTCTTAGGAGAAGTCCAGCTCTGCTCTGAGCACAGGCCTTACGAAATCAAATTGTAAAGCAAGAAGGAACATTATCAAATACCACCTAAATAGATAGGTCAAATTACAGCTTCTCAGGCAGATCAGGAATCACACAGGCACTAAAAAAAGGAGAGTGTTTTGCCTCTTGGGTAGCTGGAAGAGCATCTGCCGGTGCACAACTCCCAGCATCAGTGAAATGCTCTCTGTGCTGTTCCTCCTCAAGCTTGAGCAGCTGGTGGAAAAGAGGTCACCACCACCAACTTCCAGGCGGTGCTAGTCTGGAAAGTACTGGCTACCTTCTGAACCACTCAGACTTCACAGAATCACAGAATAGTTAAGGTTGGAAAGGACCTCTGGGGACCATCTATAGTCCAAGCCCCTTGCCAAGGCAAGGTCACCTAGAGCACATGACACAAGAATGTGTCCAGGTGGGTTTTGAATGCCTCCAGAGGGGAAGACTCCATACCCTCCCTGGGCAGCTGTCCCAGTGCTCTGCCACCCTCAATGGAAAGAAATCCTTCCTCATGTTGAGGTAGAACTTGTGTTTTAATTGAGGTCAACCATTAACCAGCACCATCGCTCTCTCCTGCTTATTCCAAATCCTCAGACATCCAGGAATAAATAGAGTTAAAAAGAGGGTTTTATAGAAAGCTATGGAAAATCATTGAAGGACAGGAAATGCTTTGGGAGACGAGCTGATTTCCTTAATATTTATTAGCATTACAGCCATACCTTGAGGTCCCAAGCAGGACTAGAGACCTGTTACGTGAGATTCTTTGGGGAGGATGCAGAGGTTACTGCCTGGAAGCATTTCCAAAGGAAAACACATCACAGAATCAGTCGGGTTGGAAGAGACAGATCATATCATCAAGTCCAACCTATGACCCAACACCACCATATCACCTAGACCGTAGCACTAAGTGCTATGTCTAAGTCTCTATTTAAACACCTCCACCTTGTCCTGTCACTGGGCACCATTGAAGAGTCTGGCACCAATAATGACCCCTGCCTTGGTGATACTTGTATGCACTGATGAGATGCCCTCTGTCTTGTCTTCTCTAGACTAAACAGGTCCAACCTATGACCCAACACCACCATATCACCTAGACCGTAGCACTAAGTGCTATGTCTAAGTCTCTATTTAAACACCTCCACCTTGTCCTGTCACTGGGCACCATTGAAGAGTCTGGCACCAATAATGACCCCTGCCTTGGTGATACTTGTATGCACTGATGAGATGCCCTCTGTCTTGTCTTCTCTAGACTAAACAGGCCCAGCTCCTCAGAATTCCCATGGTCCAAGCCTGAATACAAAGCGCATGGGAGACAGGAAGAAAAGGCAGCCAAGTTTCCTACCTGATGGGGATCATCCCTATCATGATGAGAGGGAAGATCATCTTCATGTAGGGCAATGGTGACATGCCGAAACCACAGAGGATGAGGAGTTGCAGGACCTGCAAGCCTGTGAAATAGTGGATCTTCCTCTGGGGCACTCTGCGAATGTAATGTGTCGGGGGATAAGCAGTCTGGGAAGAGAAGAATCATGCGTTAGACATGCAGTGACCTAGACTTGTGATGGCAGAATGTGGCACAGGCTTGGGAACACAACAGATTTAAAGAAGTCATCAATTTACACACACACACACACACACACAGAGTGTATCAACACCACAGTCCTGAACAGGCTCCACAGGTGAACACAGGATTTACAAACCCCTACAGGGTTAAATCAAGTGCCTTAAACCACAGCACTGGCAGCAACACACAGAAGATGACCGGGCACTGGAAACCCAGAGAGGGAAAGGCACACCACACAGCCAAGACTGCCTTTGGGAGCATGTAGAGTGCAACATAATATCTTGATAAGTACAGTAGTAATATTCCCCTGAGGAGGACTGTCAGGACTTCGCAGCAATACGTGAAGTGCCTGTGGGGGTGTGCAGGGGGTGATGGTGAGCAGATGCACTTGGGTGTTGTTACGGCTGGATGGATTCTCCACCTGAAAGCCAGCTCCTCATATTTTACAACCTCTCTATACGGCTCCATGCTGCTCCCATCCCTTGGCTGAACCCATTAGGGGAAGACCAGGAGATGAGGTTAGGGAGGTACAGAAAGAGGCTGTACACAGACTGCAGTGATTCTCCCAACTCCTGAAAGCTATTCATTTCTCAGAAAAAAATGAGGGGGGGAAGTGACATTAATAGGCTAAATATGGAGGTTTCTTTTGACATTTACTTGCTCATGTCTGAGCACAGGCTTTGACTCACTGTCTATACATCAATGAAGAGTATGAGTGACTGTCTGCTGGCACTGATACAGGCTCAATGGATTTCAGATCGGGCCATGACTCATTAAAAGGTTTCCAGAAAAGGGAGATCTCCATATTCAAGAATACGTCTTAATTTTCCAAACTAAAGCTTGGAAAATTCCACACATAATTCGTAATAAACCCAGAAGTACTAAGTCACATACCTCACTAGCTATTCAATCCTCATTCAAAAATTGACATGACAAATGTAATCTTTACAGTTTTAACCTCTAGGATTGTAATATTAGAGATCAAGATAGATTAGCAGAGATACACAGCCAAATGTTGGGCTTATTAAGCCCTTGACTCTTATTACATAAGAGAAGGTGAGCTGGAGACTCGCTCCAGGTACTGCCTACACTGCAAGCCAACACCTTCTTAGCACCTGTAATAGAGATGGATTGAAAACACATCTTCCAGGTCTGTTTTCAACCCACATCAGATGGGTTTCAATAATGCAAGTGATTTAATTTTGAGTTTAAAATCCTATCTTGGGGTATTTCATACAAAATGAAAGTGTAAAATACAGCAAAAAAGAATTACCCACCTGAAGCTTTGCTGGGGAAATCAAAGATCATTTCCTGACATTAAGCTTTTTAATACTTTATAATATAGTTATTTTAATGCAGGTACTCTGCAGCTGATAGGACATTACAGTAGGGTTTTAAAACTCACACACCCCCAACATTCAGCAAGCAACAGGTTGTACAACGGTGTGCTTGGGCTATAAACAACTTCCAGGTGTAGTGCCCCAATCCATGTACCTGTTCCTTAAGCAGGAGAGCCACCCTTTCAAAGAGTTGGTTCCCATCAATGGAGGTCAAGGCAATGTAGAGGAAGAGGCCGTAGAGGACTGGCTTTGGGATCCACTGGAGAGGGAAAGGGAGGAGCAGGAGCGAGAGGCCAACCAAGAAGTTTGCCACTAGACTTGTCAGCCGTGTCTCCTTCACACTCACGATCCTGGAAGCAAGAAAACAAGGATTAGGAGACTAGGATAATATCCCAGTATCCACGGAAGCTTACCACTGGGGCTCACTACTTCACATAGGTGCAGCAGGCCATGTGCCACTCGGGAAAGGGAAACATCTCCACTGCACTGACATCAGCACTTCTGGCCCTGTGCTGACACTGAGAAGGCAGAGCTCTGCTGGACCCAGGCCAGGCACTTAATCCACAGCTCAAACAGAGCAGTTGGAAAAATGCCAAATTCCCCTTCTGCAAAGCTCCACAGATCCTATCCTGAACTAAATTGCTCTCTAAACTAATTCTGTTTAGCACAATGCAAAAAACACCAAAACAAAACCAGGGCAGAATCCTCTCTCTGGGCAGTGATCCTTCCCTCCATTTACCCAGCGCATAGGCAATTGGCTTCTATCCCAAAGAAAACTCACTGTGACTTCTCCAGGAACTGATGAACCTCTTGTAAAAAACTAAAACACTACTGACAGCGAGTCAGCATTTTTCATGTATATGAGGATCTCCTTGTTTACATGGAAGGGAATGCTGAGTGCACTAAGCTGGGATTCAGTTCTGCTGTGGGTAATAGCAGTTGTGCTGCAAATTGCCTATTACCATGCAAAACATGAAATTAATTAATGCAAATTTTCCAGAGCTGACAGGCCACAGTGTTTGTTTTTTTTTTTAGGGGGAAAAGACTGACAGGAAAACACACAGCAGCTTTCAGAACCTCTGGGGGGTGAGCGGAGGTGGTTTTGCCTTCTTTTCACTTCAACTAAATCTGTGAACATCTAGCTTGAAAAAATAATTATGAGAAACAATGGGAGGAAAGAAATCTCTCATCTGTCAAGACTACTTATAAAGAGAGAAAAAGAAGACTCTTAACTTTTTTTATTGGAGATAAAGTCACCAATTCAGTGGATAAGCTGGTGAGAAAATGCCTTTATTATCAGGGGAAATTTTTTTCCATAGGCTGTTTTGGTGTCATTTAGTGACCTCATTCCCTGGATGAGACCCCTCATACTGTGAATTAACTCTGTACACAAACTACTCTGAGGCTTAACACAAGATCTAACAAAACACATTTTCCTCCTTTACATATGTACTTTTGGGACTTCATAATCCCTTCTGTCCCAAAGAAGATTTCTTCCCAGTGAATTATTTCAATATTAAGTTTGAGAGTTATGCTTGTAAGTAAGATCAGGTTGAACTTCAAATCTGTTTATACATCGAAGGGGAGCATAATGAAGCTGTGGGGATGAAGGAGCCTTCCACACCTGTATTTGAGAGGGAAGGGAAAAAAGTAACAGCCTAAAGCTTTAGCAAGGCAGAATTAACACCATCAGTCATGAGACCTAAGGAACAACAGCTACCACAAACAGTACACAAAGTCCTGAGGACAACACTGGAATTCTTCAGTGAGTAATGGGGCAGATCATACACATTATCCAGGATTACCAAGACAGGATGCACAGAGGTGTTGACCTTTAAGTAACCTTTAAATGGGTTTAAACAGCAGAAACCACAGCTTTCCTCCTTCCAAACAGATTTTGTTCAGATCCTCTTGCAAGCCTCCTATATCAAGGGGCCCATGCCAATGCCTAGAGAAGCTGAGGGAGAGTAAAGCACTTCACTCTTGCCAGCTCTGGTAGAACTGGAACATCACCTAAGTGGATACAGTTTGGCAAACTTTCCATTGCCTCCAGGTTTGGATCACCACAGAACAAGTCTTGGAGATGAACAGAGAAGTGCAACTGTAAGAGCTGTTTCAGACTAAGTTCACAGGCTGACAAACAGGGGTCAGATGCTTTCAGAGCTATCAGAACCACTATGAGCCTCTTGAGTGGCCCAGTACAGCAGAAGTTAAAGGATGCACTAACTGATTTATTTTCATCCAGGTACAGCAAGAGTTTCCCTGACTTCCTCACTGGACAACCTACAGAGGAACCATTTTTGTTATTTCAGGCCAAGATCTGACCCACTGGTGTGAATACTCATGACATGCAAGCACACACAAGCCTTAGGTTTCTTGCAAGCGAAGTCATGCAAACCAAAAAGCTCAGAAGCAAAATGAGCTGTGAAGCCACCACATTTCAATCAGATGCAAGTCTGTAAGCACAGAGCAGCTCAGAGGAACAGCCCTTTGGAAAAAGATTTTTGAAGCTAATGGAATTTTCTGCAGTCATCTCTTGGGGATGCAGTAATCACAGCACTGGGTTTGATCACATACAAGATGTACTGCAACTACTACTGCCAGCTCCTGCTAATGCCACTTACTAGTTTGGACTATTTTATCAGAACATAGTTACAATTTCTCATAATTGACCAAATATGACATTTTAAAGCTGATGTTCTGAGCCTTAAATTGGTCTTCTGCTAATTCCAGCACCTTTCTCATTTCCAGGATAAGAACATCACAGTCACATGAAGTCAGAGGAAACTCTGATTTGCCTGTGTTCAGAATCTGCTTTGGCCCTTGAGGAAACAGCTCCAGAAAGTCTGTGCTGTGATGGAAATAAAGTAATTAATGGAGATTAAAGAGTATAATCCAGGCTCATTTCCCCCAAATCCTTTAAATATGGCTAGCATGGGATTAGCCATTCCCAACCTCCTCCGTGTAACAACAGCCTGTTTGCAGACTGACACAGGAAACTCAAGTCATTACTCTACAGGGGAGAAGAAAATTTTGCTTTCATTGTGACAGATCTTTATTCTTGTTTACATCATCATCCTGTGAGAGCTTTGATTTGAGTGCAGGAAAGGAGCCTGCCAAGGGAGACAGAGCTGATTTTCTAATTGAGCCTCAGTATGTTTCTTTTTCAGCAGAGCTGGCTAAGAGGGGGGGAAAAAAAGAAAGGATGACTACATTGCTCAGAGCCTCCTGTTATAGCTCAGTGCTTTGCAGAGAACAAAAAGCTTCAGTCTCAAAGGGAGTTCAAAGCACTAGGAAATCCTTGTTCCCTTTTTCACTCCCAATATCCAGTTCACAGCACCAATTTGCCTCCAGCAGACAAGAGCTGTGCCATGGGGGAATATGCTTAGTCACATTAGGACATCCCTCAGCCCTTTCAGGATAATCACTGGAGCCAGATCTAGGTTAGAATGGCCAAAGAGGGCTCTCTGATGCTTTTTATTTTTGGCATCTGGGTGAAGGAGCAGAAGACAAGGGCAGGAGGTAGTCTATAATTCAGGCAGGGGACTTTGTCAAGGAAAAGCCAGAATACAGAATCAAGTCCATGGAAAAACAGGAAAAAGAGGCACTAGGTATTAAAATTAACAACAGAAGATACAGGGGGAGGATTGGCACATGGGTTTCAAAGTGTCAATTTTCCATCTCACAAAGAAACAGAGAGCATAGGTATCCCAGAGCACATCATGCACACAAGGAGCAAGGATTAAAACCCTACAGAACTCAAGTTGCCCAGTTGAATTTTTTGAAATATGGTTTAACATTTATCCAAGATGAATATAGTTGTAGGAACAACTGATAGCAACACATACTAACAGGAATATGAGCTCAAGGGACTGATCTGCCAGGAAAGATCTGTAAAAGCATTGCAGGGAGCAGCAGGACTCAGCCATTTCCAGATGTGGAAGGTGAAATCCATCCATCACTGACCCAAAAAGCAGCTGTGCCAGGTTGGGCTAGGCCAGCTGTTACCAAGAACAGCACAAAGGCGAGGCTGAAATTAAGACAGACCCACTCCATCCCCCAAAGTAAATGACCATTCAGACTCACTTCTGCTAAGTGGCAACTCAGAAAATGGAAGCCAAGCCAGGATAATTAAACTAATAGCATGTGAGTGGAAATTACCACTTCTGTGGGGAAAGCACTCAACTGGAACACACTGCGATCAAACAGGGCAGATAACCTCAGTTCTGAAGCAGGTTTCATGAGAAACATTTTAACTTTTTTTAATAGGTATCTGATAAGAATGTGTTGCCCAACTTGGAACAGTAAAATAGTTGGTCTTAAATAGAAAGGCATGACCCCAGGCACGGCTTCACATTTCCTTTTGCTTAAAAACAAGAGGATTTAAGCATCTCTCCTTCCCAAAATGCAGAAGATGTTATGAGAGCTCTGAAATACTGGTGCATTTTTCTCACCCTTCGTAATAACCACCAGACAGGTTTCAGGCAATGAATCAGCCTGGATTCTTTCTGGTGAAGACAGCTGGAAAGATCTGGCCAAAGCATCTCCTCAGCTTTCCACAAGGATAAAACAGACAAGGGCCTTGGCTGAGAATTCCAGAGGAGAATTAGCACTGAAGTGGGTGGAATCCCTATAGGATTCTGTCAGCCATTGGCTACAGAATGAATTTGTGTGTGTCCTTCCATTGGCTACAGAATGAATTTGTGTGTCCTGTAACAAGCACTTCAGTGAAGAGATGAAGCCAGGTCAAGGGTCACACTGGCTGAGGTGACTTCATTCGGTGCCTCTCCCCTCCACCTTCATACCTTGTAAGTCTTCAAGACAACAGCAAACTCCCCACCCACAACCCACTGTTCCCAAACGATTGGGAAACCACAAATGAAACCAAAGACATTCAAGACAGCTCTGTAGTTCCTACTTACGTCTCATAGATGTGTCCATTCTCAACCCTCTCCTCCACATAGGCCAGGGCACGGACGTGCATGGGGGAGTGTGGGAAGGCAGCATGGATCCATGGGAGACCAAAGACAGACAGTCCTGTGTTAATCAGCGCAACAAGCAGCAGGTCCCAGTGATAAGCTGTTCCCTTCACCAACCTGAAACGAGGGGTTTGTTGATAGTTAACACCCAATACACACTAACAGGCTGTCCTGGCTGACCCTGAGCTCAAATGCTGAACACTAGTGTGCACTTCCATGCACGGAGTGATTTCACACCTCCTGCTTTACCGTCTGTGTTACATGAACATGCAATGTAATTAAATGTGACAGTTTGCTCCCAAAGCTGTTGTCATCTGGATAGAACAAGGCCTGCAGAAAGGCAACCCACTAAAATAACAGTCCATGAAAATTTCATCAGCATTTCGCTTTTACATTTATTAGAGAGTCTATTCAAAATCCACATCTGTATTTGCTAACTGAGTCCACAGAGGGAGTGGTTAAAATCCTGGGCATGGTTTGCCAAACAACTGACACTGAAGTTTCCCACCCACCTTGTTTCTAACCCTCATCTCCCTCCTTCCCCACGAGCAGAGCACATGCTTAGTATGCTGCAGTAATCCCCTAACTATGTAATTGCTACTGCATGATAAGAAAATGGGACAGGAATTCATTAAACTTCAGCTCCTCCTCAGTAGTCATAGAATCATAGAATGAATCACAGAAATGTTTGCACTGAAAAGGCCCTTAAAGATCATGTAGTTCCATCCCCCTGGCATGGACAGGGACACCTCCCACTAGACAAAGTTGCTCTAAGCCCCATCCAACCTAGCCTGGAACACTTCCAGGGATGGGGCAGCCAAAGCTGCTCTGATTGCCAACCTGTTCCAAAAGGTTGGTAGCCAACCAAGGAGATACACTCTTCCTAAGTTTGGCAAATGCTGTGTGGCCTCCCTGCTTTATATTTTAGGGGAGGGAGAAATTGGCTGACTGCTTCACATTCCCATTACAAGGACCACAAGGAGAGCAGCATTAACACTGAAGTAACATCTAGTTTAAACTTGTCATTTTTTGCCAGGTCTGACCCTTTCCTGAATATTCCCATCTGGTAGCAACTGCTAGGTACTATGAACAAAGTTTAGAAAAAGGCTGGAAAAGGATTCAGCTCTCAGACTTTCACACCTAACAGAAAGGACTAGGGTTGTGTTTCTGCCTTGCCATCCACACACACTACCAGAGTTCAGCTGAATTGCTCTCTGAGCAACATCAACTACAAAGGGAACACCATTTGGGGGTCTTAATGCCACCCAGATAAGCTCTGTTCAACACCTAAGCATAGACTTGGAGCCATCCAAGATGCTCTAAGACATGAGGTACATTGAGGTGGTAGACTTCACCTGGCACACGAAGATCTATGCCTAAGATCTACCTCAAAGGGCAGCAGATGCCATTGTTTGGGCAGCAGAAATCTTGGGTGGGGTTCAGTTTTGGAACAAAAGGATTTGTCTCACTGGGACTGCTCACCTCCATTGCCTGAGGAGGCCATGGGGTGACTAGGTCAGGTAGATGCAATGTCTCTGAAGCTGGAAGGTGCTGGCAGGAAGGGTGGAATTGTAAACACTTCCTGCCTTGGCTCATGCTTTGAAAGCTCAGCTCCTGCTCCTGTGCTGCTTTCTCAGAGCAAAGGCACCTCCAGCATCCCCAGGGTTATTGTGACTGGCCTCTGCCCTTTTCAGAGGGCTCCAAGTAAAAAGGGCATACACTGACCTGTTGGAGCAAGTCCAGAGGAGACCACCGAGTTGATTAGTGGGATGGAGCACCTCTGCTATGAGGAAAGGCTGAGAGAATTGGAATTGTTTAGTCTGGAAAAGAGAATGCTTTGGGGTGACCTAATTGCAGCCTTCCAGGACCCAAAGGGAGTCTACAAGATGATGGAGAGATACTACTTACAAGTGCCTGGAGTGACAGGACAAGGGGAAATGGCTTCACACTCCCAGAGAGTAGGTTTAGACTAGGTATCAGGAAGAAATTTTTCCTTGTGAGGGTGGTGAGGCACTGGTACAGGTTGCCCAGAGAAGCTATAGCTGCCCCATCCCTGGAAGTGTTCCAGACCAGGTTGGATGCAGCTTGGAGTAACCTGGTCCTAGTGGAAGGGGTCCCTGTCCACAACAGGGAGGCGGAACTAGTTATCTTTAAGGTCCCTTCTACACAAACCATTCTGTGATTCTATGATGATCTAACAGCAGTGTTGTTTTAGCCCCCCCAGGACACTGACTCAGCAGTTGTACAGCACCATGTGTGCTCTACACCTGCTTGGACCAATGGATAGGCTCCACTGGGCTTGTCTACCTCAACACACAAAGATCTGGATGCCTTATCCTAGGTTATCTCCACACTGCCCAACCAGCCCAGTACTCCTTGGACAGTCTTATACACTTGCTTTGATTATTCTTCAGCAAGACACATCAGGTACTTCCAAGCAAACATCATTTTTTCCCCTGGTTTTTCTTTCCTACAGAAGGAAACAACTACATCTGGTAAGACACCAAGAGCACATTCTCCACTTGGCTGGTACAGATGCCAGTATTTTATACTGTGATGGCACCACAAACAGAAGGTGTTAAGTGCTAGTTTGTCCATCTCTAAAAGCCCATGCCCTGATGCCTGATCAGCATAAGCTCAGGCCCGAACTGAAGAATTCTGAAAAACACTATGCAGAACTCCAAAGAATATTTTTCATTCCTTACAGACATTCTAGTGGAAAATACCAAAAGCTGAGAAGAAATTCACATTAGCAGAGATGACCCACTTACATACAGATTTATGCAACACTTAAAGTGATATAATAGAGATAAGAGGTGGTCAAAGGAAACCAAATTAGTGTAACTGAATTTGAGCTTGTCTTCTCTCCCCCTAATACTGTGTCACTCCAGCTACAACATGGAGAATGCTAATGTATATTATGCAAGGAGAGAACCCTCCCACGCATTACATTAGCAAAAAAACCTCTGAGACAGGGTAGTTTCCCTGGAAAAGTCATACACGTTCAATTCCTGATACCACATCTGATGGCAGTCGGCACAAAAACATCAGAGGGAATATTTTAATAGTGAAGCATCTCAAGTTTGCACATAAATTAGACTGATCAGACATTAGACATACTGTTTTATTTCACTTCCACCTTTCTCAGCTGGAAACTAACAGCTTCGAACACTTCTGAAGCTCAGCTGCAGCATATTGTGCTGCAGCATTTATGTAGGTCATTGACTTCCCATTTTCAACCAGTTCTCTGTACTGCAAGAGCAATGCAAGTGTCCACATGTGTCAGATACTCCCTAAATATCTGGAGGTACATCCACAGCCCTCAAACCACGCAAAATATCTACTTAACATTTACTACACTACCTCTTGGCTCCCAAAACTCTTCCTGAGAAATGCCTTGAGACTTTTAGGGGAGACAAGATGGTGATGAGCAGAGGGTAAAGGAGAAACAGGCTGAGGTGATGAGTTCATTGACACTTGGTGGTTTGGGCTCACTGCCACACTATTGGACTTTGGGAATGGTGAGGAGTTACACAGCAGGGTCACGTTCACCTGTGACAACAGGAGTTCTTAAAAAACACATCCTGAATATAATCTCTGGTGTTCAAAGAAGCTTTGGGAAAGCAGTGCTAGTTACAGACTCATGGACATCCCTCCTTGAAAATGTTACCTGTTCTCTGGAGCATTTGTGAGCGACGCCACGATGTTCTGCTCTATGAAGAAGAGCATGGACAGGAGGAACCCCAACCCCATGGCACTCATCACCGATCCAATGGAGAGGGACTGGACGGGGGCCAGGACAAACAAGCTCTCAGATGGGTTGTAGTTAAATTTAGACACTGAAACATGGAGGAGAATGATGTTAGGAGGTACCTTCTTGTCCGGTCATCCACATAGACTCATGTAATGTTTTACCCATGCCATGAACTACTGGGAATCAATGCAGCAAACCAGGCATGTGGGAGCCAGGCGGCCATGGAAGATGGGTCCATCTGGCTGTTTTGGTTTATCTTTTCCCTCTGTTCATTTAGAACTTGGCTGTCATCCTGATTTGACAGATCACTGCTAGTTCTACTGAGGCATTACATATATTTGAGCAAAACAAAAGAGGGAAACTTGTCTTCCACAGATGCAAAGTGTTTTTAGATTAGAAAACCTTCTTTCTAACTAGCAGCAAATTCCTGCTCAGCTAATCAACTCCCAGAACCATTTTAAAACTTCCTCATATCCAACAAGCTGTGGAAGGCATTTTAGTATAAAATGCCCCTACTTTCCTGCCATTGGAAGCAATCCATGACTAGGGATAAATCACACATGGCTACACATCATTTTACAATCCAACTGGATGGAATGGCCATCACAGAAAAAAAATGTCATTGCTTATTTGTTTCCATACATTTCCTCACATCACCCACTCACGTCACTGCAGGACAATGCAATTCCTGTCCCCATTATCACTTCCTGATATGGAAAAGTTGATCTATCTGGCCAATAAATGGTGTCTCATTTTTAGATTTCCTTATGTAACTTTGCACTGCCCAGATGCTCTGCACTGTTTCACCTCAATTAGGAAGATGCAAACTGAAGACAAAGAGGACAGACTGGGACCATCACCTCCACGTCAGTGTGACTGGCAACAACCCTTCCTGCCTGCTAATTACTCTGCCCTTTGTTCTTTGCCAGAAATTGTTGATTCGCCTCCTGTATTCTAAGAGATAGACACTTGAAATTCATTGAAAAGACACAGTGGGATCATTTTTTCCAGAGACCAAACTTCACTCAGCCTTGTTTAATTAGGGTTATGAATGAAATAAATCAGATAGTGAGGAAATCTGAGCACTTGGGAGTGGTGGGGGGGACACAATATTTGTGAAATTATATTGCGCAAGTTTGCTAAATTTTGGCAGAACCTTTCAAGGATTTCATTTCTTTTTCATACACCCCCAGAGAACAAAAATAGAACTTACTTTCAATTTCCTTGAAGATATAGGAACCCACCACAGAGAAAGTCAGAACTGAAATGGGTAAGGCACAGTCGGACAGAATTTCCCGTACTCTGGCATGCAGATATGGGCTGCAAGTCAAGACAAAGAAATTCCATCAACACCACACTGTTGGGACAATCACCCAATCCAGATAGCACCAATGCTTTAACAAGTGAAAATTCAATCCCATCTTGTGATTCTAAAGAGATACTTGGAGTGAAAAATCAGTCTAATCCATCCTCAAATCTTCTAGAATCTACAGCCTTTAAGGTTGATGAATGCGTAAGCAAAACACAAAGAAATAAGAAACTAAAGATGCAAGCCAGAAAAAAGTCCTCCAAGCACCAATTTGTGTCTCGTTTCCACTTTAATTGCTTACTGCATTTCAAATGAAGAATTTTAAAAGCAATAATAGCTGGGTGTTTGACTCCCAAGAGCACACTGAAGGTACATTCCCAGTAGACCTTCCAGCACCATCAGGGACTTTTGCCCACCAAAATGGTTCAGTGCCTATTTGGAAGGAGTTATAGGGATTCCAACATGCATTACATAGTTCATGGCTTTTTAGAAAGCCATTTGTGACACCAACCCAAACACAGAAGGGCATTATCCAGTGACTGAACGTTCTGTTCTGCTGCTAACATTTGCCAGGTGGCCTGCCAAGCTCATCCCTGGCTTTGGCTTCCACCATCACTAATAGAAGAGTTCCACATGATGTTTCTGGACACAAAAATTAGGATCTAAGCAATTCCTCCCAGGTAATATGAAACAATCAGCACTCTGAGCTCTAAGACTGAAGTAACTCACCTTTTCTTAAACTGATAGAGCGTATGACCAAGCCAAAGGGTACCCAACATCAACATGAGACTAAGGACGGCAGTTTCACGTCCATAATGCACATCATGGGTGCCTGTTTGATTCTCTAGGGACATGGATCTGCTCACTGATGAGTTCATCAAGAAGGATGTATTGATGCCGAGGCTTGGAATAGCATCAGCTCGTGTTTTTTCCAAGTAACTGTCTCCTGTGCGCCCATGGTAGTAATATTTCTTAAAAACTGTGCAAACAACCAACAGGCAAGGATTAGGATAGGATTGTGACAATCAAAGCAAGTAAAATAAAGTGTTTTTTTCTTGCTTGATCATGCAATTCTAACATTATGCTTCACCAGGTTTATAGCTCTACCCCTCAGACCACTGAGAAGAAATCAGAACTTCTCTTACAAAGACAGTGCCTCAACAGATTTATTTTTTCACTTATTTTAAGTTAAATTTTTCTCTAAAGCAACACGTTTCAGCTGTAAGGACTTCCAGCGCTAATTAATGTGATTTTTGTTCCCAGCACTGGAATCACTGCCATTAAATATATATTTCTATATAGGCACCTACTTTCAGCAGTCTGGTTAAATAAATCCCCTCGGGATCTCTTGGAAATACTAAGAGCAGCCAGGCTGCACAGATCCTTAAGTGGATTACAAAATGTACAGTAATTACTTTTCCTCCTGATCCAGATTTTAAAGATAAGTGGTGATGATATGCAAAACCTGGCAGAACATTGAAATTTATACTGCAAATTGAAACAGAGTTACAGCACACCTGAAATAAAACTGCACAAGCAAAACACCCAGTAAAGCCCCTGGAACTGTCCATAAATGTATTAGGCTACCTCAGAGGCATTTTATATAAGCAATTAACAGCTGTAAAGACACTTGCTTTTGAGCATTTAGCTATGTTCCCATTTCTATGGAACCGGCTTGGCCCCAAGCAAATAAATGTGGGTTTTGGGGTGATTCCACCTCTTTGGGGAACAAAAGCCTGAGGCGTCACAAGAAGCAAGTAAAACCAGAAGATGGGAGTTGGGCTTTGCAGCCTCAGTACTCCCAGGTTTTATGTGATGGCAGCACCCACTCTCCCTCACACCAACAGGAAGATACAGGAGGATGGAAATCATCACATCAGAGCTTTGCAGTCCTTCTACCTTGTTCCTTTTCGTCAAAATACTCCTTAAACTTTGCATAGTGAAACTGAAAAACTGCGGGCAAGACCATCCTCATTAGGCAATAATACAACAACATGAAGCTTAGGCTATAAAGCTCCTCATGACATTTCCCCCTGTCCCCAAATAATAGTCAAGGTTCTGAAAGACCTAAACACTTCAGCTTTTCCATCTGCAGCAGCTACAGGGAAATCAGAAAAGACAAACTAATTCTAAATATTGGAAAACAAGGAAAACAAACTCTGAATGTTCTTGCTAAGCAAAAATTGGTGTTTGCAACCACCTTGAGTTTGGCTGAAGCACAGTGTGTTACTGCTGATTTGAAGCTCACCCCAGTGTAAAATGCCCTGTGTTTGGCCATGATGCCATTTTAAATGCAGGAATAATCTTTCCTGTACCACCCTTATGAGTTAAAAGGAGTGTGGGCATTCCACGAGTGGATGGGGTCAATGGGGCATGTAGATCACACAACAGAGGACCAGTTGCCTCACACTCAGTACATCTCTGGAGAAATGTAAAGCTCATAGAAGGTTTACAGTTCAAAATTTCTCCATTCAATTTGCTCTTAGCAGCAGCCAGAAGTGAGAAGATCACCTTTAAAGCTGAGATGAGAAAGGTTCCCCTAGCAAGGAGCATTTTCATTCCGACCTCCCTTAGCACCATGTATTCCTCATCGCGTGCTACGGAAGAAGCTCTGCTATCATTTCCTCCCTCCATCCTCACAGCTGTGTCCAGCCCAGGCAGGACACCCACACCTGCTCTGTAGACAGGTAAACTGAGGCCCAGAGCACTGCCATGACCCACACACTGGCACAGGATGGGCTGTTGTGGGATTTGTGCTTTCCGGCTTGGAACATGAAAGGACATTTTTGTCATAATAAACATGATTATGGCAGAACTTCCAGGGAATTAGCAGCTGGCCAGAGCAAAAAGCTTGCTCACCATCACAGCTGACCCTAAGGGTCACTGAGTCCTGGAGACATGCAGAGTTACTGAGCATCTGAGAAACCAACAGCGCACACAACCCAGGAGCTATGCAGAATGTATTTGCATTACTCTGGATTTAGATTTGGACAGGAATGAATGAAAACCAAATTACTTTGTTTTGGGTCTTCTGGATTTTCCCAATTTCCCACATTTGTTTATATGGCAGTAATATATTCAGGGCTAATCTTTGGTGCCCTGTGTTCAGCTTGACTACATCATTGCTTGCTACCTCTGAGGCTGCAATTCAATTTGCACCCATCTCCAAACCAGGCAGGATTGCTCCAATCCATCCTAGATGAGCAAAAAACTTTGCTTTACTCTTACCTTTTAATTAAAGCAACTGTAACAGGCCAAGATGGCTAGTGGAGGTCTGTCCTGCACCACAGGCTTGCTACAAAGGATTTGATTGCTATAGATTTCTAGTTAGGTTTTACACCAGAGCTCAGTGAGTCTCATTGCCCACAGTCAGACAGCAGCAGAGCTATTGGTGCCCTGGCTGAAACTGAGCCCTTCTCCAGCTTAGTGTGCGCTCACATTCCCTCCAACAACATGAACTAGCTTTGTTTTCTTCAGTCTGCTCACCACCATTTCCTGCAGAGTGCAGATGTCAAGATCAAACAAACACAGCTTTGGTGGCCAGGCCATGCAGCAAAAACAAAGTGTCACCGGGATGGCCTGAATGCTCATGGCTTAGTTCCTCTGGGCAGTGTTGTGTCCTCCCCCTTCTTTCCTGCATGTGTACAAGTACCTTACAAAAAAATCAAGGCTGTGAACAGGCTGAGGAAAGTACCTGGGCAAAGGTGGCATGTCCCATGGCACTAAGGAAGCCCAAAGTTGCTGTCAGCTAGTTAGGCATTCCCAGGACACTTAAGAGTGTGGAGAAAATACCAGCTTTCTCTTCCTACTTAACAGCTCAACTCAAGTTTTGAGTGGGAGGAGGAGGTGGCAGCACAGCAAATCACCACCTGTTATGAAACAGGAGGGGAAGGAGAAAGCTGAGCATGCAGCTGTGAGCTGCACTGGTGTCATGTCTTTAAATGGGAGCACTGAGAGGATTAAGGATGAAGTCTGTGCCTGCCAGTACCAGTGCCCTTCTGCATTTGGGAGCATGGCTGAAGTTGGGGTCCCACCTGCTGATGCACTGAACACTCCCAAATGCAGCTGAAGCCAATATGAGCTGGCAAATCAGTGGAGTATGGATTTGACTTTATTACCATTGTTCCTATAAATTTAGCCCTTCTCAAGTACAAGGGAGAATTCAACTAATCTGCTAATTACATTAACTCAGAATCCTATAACAGTTTGGCTTGGAAGAGACCTTTTAAGATCATATAGTTCCAAGCCCCTGCCATGGGCAGGGACACCTTCCACTAGGACCAGGTTGTTCCAAGCCCTATCCAACCTGGCCTTGAATACTTGCAGGGATGGGGCAGCCACAGCTTCTCTGGGTAAGTTGTGCCAGTGCCTCACCACTCTCACAGGGAAGAATTTTTTCCTGATATCTAACCTAAACGTGCTCTCTGGAAGTTTAAGGGCACTCCCCCTTGCGTGCCAGGTTCTTCTCCTGTCCTCACTGCAATACTCTAAAGTTACTTGCATATTGCAGAAAGTCTGGCAGCTGGGATTAATGGATGCACTCTGTCCCTAACCTGCACCCCACATCCCTGCTGTAGGAAATCAGCTCTCTGCTACAGAAGCATTCTGATCATTTGCTAATTTTTCCAGAGCAGCTGAATATCCTGTTGAAGAACTCCTTAGTGCCAGAGAGAGTGTCCCATGTCTCCAGAACAGGGCACTGACAGCACACGTTAATCAAAGCTCACAGCTACATGGAAAGTAAAATATCCCAGAACAACTTCCCCCTCATCAGGCTCTAAGCAGGGTATTTGAAAGATGCAGATGTTCTGCAGAGAAAAAAAATAAATCGCTCTGATTGCACAATCAAAGCACATATAAGCCAAATTAAGGATTCCCAATGAAGTGAGAAAGTATCTCACTTCAAATTGTTTTGCATTATCAAAGCTGTTCTTTGGAGGGTGTTCTCCTTGCACGTGACATACCAAGCCTGAGTAACCCAAAACAAGGAGTTGCTCAGACATCTCCTGAAGAATTTCAAAGGATAACCCGCACTTAGGGCTGTTGGACAATCAGTCAATAAAAGTTAAGGAATGGAGTTTGTCCAGCTCCTCACTGGCATGAACAGGAAGGTTGCCATTCACATGGCATTTCTGCTAACATGATTCACCTTCACAAATACCTCCTGCCAATTCTGGTGGGGAGGAAAAGAGATGCTAGAGAAATTTGTCAAACCCCAAGGGTCTTCCTGGAGACTTAGAATCTAACCCAAAAATGGTGACCAAGTGGCTAGAAAGGACAGAGAAGCTTTAGGATAATTCTGGAAGGCACTGCAGTCCTGCTGCTGCCATTGAAGAAGGCTCTCAGAGCTCACATAACAGGAAACCTCCACTCATCTTTCAGCTCCCTTCCATGTAATTTTAATGATGTGGCAAGGAAAAAGAACTAGATAGACTGCATTTAAATAGGACTTTCTTTGCCAGACCATTTAAAAAGAGACTGGTATCAAGAGAAGACTTTCCCATCAATAACATTATGGTTTCTCCATTTGGTGAATGAAACCAATCCTGTCTCAGCTAACTGAAATCAGAGCTTAAGGAAATTATGCACATCCAGGTAAACTGCTGACAAAGAGCAGCTTCCATCACCCACACTGATTTGCTTTTTCCCCCCCTGAAGACTCTGAATGAACACAGAACAAGCAAACATTACACATATTTGCAGCCTTGTGTTTCCCTTTGACAAGGAAGCAGAGAACTGCACTGAAAAACACTGCTGCAAGACTTACCTTTAATAATGCCTTTGAAGGCATCAAGCACAAATGTGATGGATATAAAAAGTGCAATTATTTCTTCTGTTGACCTGTGGAAAAATCCAGGAATTAATATAGCTGCATTCAACTCTGTTCAAAGAAAAAAAATCAGCATATTCATCCATTTACATGAAAATATACCAATTTTAGGAAATGAAACAGTAAATCTTAGAGAGCTTCTTTCAAGCTGAAACAATAAGCCAAAATGACACTAGTCCTCATCTCCCAAAATACATTTTGTGGCAAGTTTGTAATTAAAGAGCTTGTGGAATGTATAATTTTTCCATTTGCTGAATAATCTGATCAAAATCAGACTTCTTGCAAGCAGCTACCTTTTAAAGAGCTTCATCAGAAGGCTGAAATTGAAGAGGGAGTACATCACCAGGAAAAAGCTGTTCCACAGTCCAATCCAGGCATAGAAAGCACTGAAATCCAAGTTGTAGTCATCACAGATTCCTCGGATGACTGCAAAAGTGAAGCATTCATGTGTCAGATGAAACTTGTGTCATTAGCACCCTGTGAGTCCCATCTGCTCCATGGCAAAGAGAATGATTTTCAAGACTTCGCCCCAACACACTTATTACAGATACTATTAAACCCTGTTCTTGCACTTCCACAGGGAAACTGAATCAACCCAAACTGTTCTTCCCCCCTCTCCACTCCCTTCCACCACTAGAAATAGGGAGAAACACTTGGAAAAATATTCTCTGCCACTGCTCAAAGCATCTTTCATAAGGATTGAGGCCACAAAATAAGCCTTCGGAATTTGCTCTTGCTGACATTTCGGGATGCTGTTGAGCAATAGATCTCATGTATGCTCTTGTGTCATGTGTGCTCACCCACAGCACTGTGGACAAAACCTCATGTTTCAAACCTTTCAAGCTGGTCATAGCCCATCATCTGATTACACCTATAGATACCGAGTTTGCTCCTTTACACTTCTGGCTCACTAATACCGTTTGAAGTCACACCTGGAAAGCTACTGATCATACTTTAAACAGACCAGTCAAAAAAACCCCAAGAAACTCAGACTCTTGTCCTCAAGTTTTATAAATGCAACTATATGAGAAAACCATTAATGAAACAGACTTTCTCACTGAAGCTGAAGAAATGCTTATTTTCATGAAGTTATTTCTATGCAAGGTAGTTTCTTTAGAAATCAACTTTAACTAAACCAGGAGTTGGTCTCAATGATCCTTGTGGGTCCTTTTCCAGGATATTCTGTGATTCTACAAAACCTGAATCAAATTCTTCCCCTTTCCCTTGGCCTTAGAATCATAAAACATCCCGAGCTGGAAGGGACCCACAAGGATCATCAAGTCCAACTCCTGGTCCTGCACAGGACAACCCCAACAATCACACCACATTCTTTAGAGGCTTGTCCAAGAGCTCCTTGACTTGGTGCCATGACCACTTCCATGAGGAGCCTGTTCCAGTGCCCAACCACTCTTTTCCTAATAGCAGTCCTTTAATACTGACATATTAAACAAATGCAACTGAAGCTCTAAGAGGATTGCAAGGTTCTTGTGCAAAGCCCCATCCCACCAACCCCCTCAGTCCCCTGACAGACACCTGTAGTAGACTCACCATTAATGTAGAGTGCTAAAGGAGCTGTAGTTAGGAGTACAACTAGAGGTTGCCCCGAAAAGAGTGCATAAAGCAGCCCTCCAATGCACTGACCAACGATTGTCTTCTGTACATCTACAGTTAGGAAGGACGGAAACAAACAGGGATTTAAATCAGTATCTCCCTGGATCAAAGACTATCCACAAGGCATAGAATCCAACCAGCAATGAGTAGGAGAAATTATTAGAGGGTATACAGGTGTGACACTGAAAGCAAAAGTGACTATTTTCACTTGTAGTTTAGGATGCCACTAGGCTTCCAGATGCTCAGCTAAAAGTAGGATGGGCTTTGATTTGTTGGCATTTTTTTGTGTTTGGGTGTTTTAAAAATATATATTTAATAATTTTATTTTATTTTAAACAGGTATAAAATATAACCAGTGTTTGCAGAGGCTTCCAGGACAAGACTTGAATGAAGATTCCTATGAACTGTGACAGCAACATGAACTGATTTAGGGCCACAGCTGGGATAAAGGATGATGCTTAACTCTATACCAGTGGATTGGATACTGGTAATCAAATTCAGATGTTTTACTAGGAAAAATGTGAAGATAAAAGTACATAGCTATGAAGTGAGCATCATTAAAAACAGCAGCATATATCTGCATCAGTACAAGCCAGATGCTACTATCCAAAGCACTTTTCCAATTAGGAAAAAAAAAAACTTCAGTCATGGTTCTGGGTTGGGGTTTTTTTTTTTAGTAAATAAAAACTAGCAAAACTTTCTGTGACTAGTTTGAACCCATGGAATCAGATGCACAAAACTGATAAACTTACCAATAGCTCCTCGAGTATTTTCATCATTGAGTGACCCAAAAGCAATGGATGGAAGGAGGCAGGCAAAATAGAGAAAGATCATAGTGGTGATGTATTTTCCTATAGCTTTGTTGTTCCCAATAACACCTAGTGCAAACCACAACAAAAATCATGTTAGTACTGCCCATGTGTAAAGCATCAAAACCCTACTCAGGTCAGACATATGTTCCATCAGTTTCGACACAGAATCATAGAATGTTACGGGGTTGGAATGGACATTAAAGATCACGTTAAGGGGTTGGACATGACATTAAAGATCACCTAGTCCCAACCTCCTACCCTGGGCAGGGACACCTCCCACTACACCAGGTTGGTCAAGGCTTCACCTGGCTTTGAACACTGCCAGTGTCTTTCCATGTTGAAAAGCAGAAGTAGAAATTCAGGCCACACTTGAAACATAGGTAGGTCCCTATATATAACATTTGATTTTGTACAACCACACTCCCTGGTTCATCTGGGACCAGAAGTAGAAGCACCAACATGCCACCAGACACTTTTGGCACCATCAAAAATGAAAGCCTTTTGCCCAGTTTTGCCAGCCCCAAAAGCTTGGGAGAGGATCAAAGCAGAAACTCTAATTTTAGGGTTCATAAACCCCCCACTCCCACCCTTTTTAGTACCAAATTTATAGGTATTCTGGATTATGTCCCTAATGAGTTCCATGATGATCACTTCTCTTCACAACTCACGATGTCTTGGGCAAGAAAACATGAAGCACTTCATTTTTCCCTAGGCAGAGGTCTGAGGTTATAGGTTTGAATCAATAATAGGCTACACTGAGCCAATTAGTGGTAGCAGACTTAGAAAAACAACTAGCACAAGAGGTCAGGAATGAGATTTGCTTTCAAAAGCCCTGCTGAAAGAATGGCTTCTTTTCCATCCACTCATCCCTCTCATCTCCATCGGAAAAAACACACCAGACCAAAACAAAAAGCAGCCAGAAAGAGAATTAAAGTGTCAGAATATGAATTTAAGGGCCTCTGAAGTAGCTTCCTTTTCCTGTTTTCAGGCTGATGTCCATCCCCAGAGAGCTCACATCACACACGAGAGAGGATGAGATGACAACAGCTGATATTGCTCGAGGAGAACAGAAGTTTTTCCACAGAACAGACTCTTTAGAGAGGATACACAGGAGAAAGTCTTTCAAACAGCCTTCAACCTGCCTATGCCACTATCCTTGATGGTGCTCCTCCTACAAGACACGTGGGCAAGGTTAGAGTTGCCCAATTCCCCTTTCTAGAAGCCTCCAGAGCAGTGAACTCCCACACAGCCATCTGCCCCTGTGCTCCAAAATGCTCATCTGAGCTCTTTGATGATCCCTCATCAGTCCCTTGCTGAGAGAAAAAAGCCAGTGAGTTGAATCAGAGAAGGGAGGGCTTAGCATTAGGGGTTATTGGTGCAACACTGAAAATCTCTATCACTGGAATAAAACAAAAAGTGTATCTCAATGACTTTGGGATCTTAGCTAATATCTGTTTTATGCACCATTGGCAGTGCAGAGATAAGGAAGGAAGGAGGGTGCCATATCCAAAAATTGAAGGCGATGTGTAATGAACAGGCAGTCACATGTGTAAAGGACACCTTGTGAGGTTCCTGTTCACAGACACAAGAGGAACAGACACAAACAGGACTTCTGATGCTCAGCATTCTCTAACTTGGGGCTACAACTTGACAAGAGTCACGTAAAGCATGCAAATATGAGATCACCATTCAGGAGTTATCAGACCAGCTGTTCTGAGGCAAATTCCTATCAATTTATTGTGAAGATTCAGAACCCACAGGTCACATTCCAGACCACTCTTAGCAACCAAAGGGCCTGAAACTTAATTCTTGCAGATGAAGCTTTCTCATGTGATCTTGAGTCCAACAGCAGCGGGCTCCTACCTCACAATCCAAACTGCCTGAGACCTTTAGAGAAAAGGAAAGATCTGGCAAGGCAAATAGTGGACTTAGTAATAGTCTTACAAGTACAGATGGTTATATCCTCGTTCAGAGGACTCCGTGGCACTCCAGAATACTGAATTTTAGACAAAGGAGTCCTTCCAACACGAAAGGTCAGAGGCAACAATGCCTAAAAGCTCTACGTAATTCCTAAAAGGACAGACAAAAAGGACCAGAGAAGCAAATCATGTTTTTTTAAAAAGGTTCAGGTAGATAAACCATAGCAGGAGAGGGCATAAGGAATGAAGAAGCCCCAAAGACCATCACAAAAACTCACATGTGGCTTTTGGTTTCTGTTTCCATCCTTGCAAAACAAGCAGCAGGAGTCCCTGCTGATCATTGAGGTCCAATGCCAGAGAAGGACATAACCTCAAGCTGCACCAGGGGAGGCTCAGGTTGGACATCAAGAGGAATTTATTAATGGAAAGGGTTGTTAAGCATTGAAATGTGCTGCCCAGGGATGTGGTGGAATCACCATCCCTGGAGGTGTCCAAGAAAAGACTAGACATGGCACTTAGTCCTCTGGTCTAGTTGACAAGGTGGTGATCAGTCAAAGGTTGGACTCAATGACCTTAGAGGTCTTTTCCAACCTAAATGATGCTGTAATTCATCATGGCTGTGTCTTAAATCCATAATCAGCCAGATGAGATCCAAGGAGCAAAGAGTCTTTCCGGTGGGCAGCAAAATTCACTTCGTAATGGAGACAGTAACTACATCAGATGAAACATAGTTCTTCACAAACGTGATTACTCACTCTTTAATTGCAGTACAAGTCATGACCAAATCCTGCCTCCTTGTACAGATTCACCTGATGCAAGTATCAAAATCCAACATTAACCACAATTTACCTTTTGCCTTTTTAAGTCAACATCTGGCAAAACATTTTCAGTATCTATTTGCAGCTCAGGGACTGACATGACTTCATTTAGAAGAAGGTGGGCTGCATGATGATGGCATTTCATCTGTGACAGCCTCATAAAGCCATTGAGAAACGTGTCACTCCACCTGCACCACGGCAATTTATAGCAGAACATCAACTCTTGGCCCAGCTGGGAAATGTGAGTAGCTGAATATTACAGGAGAAATCCCTTGAAATTAAGGTGCATCTATGCATTGAAATAGGAAGCAATTATGTTTATCAATGTGACAGTTCTATATCATTTGCTTGAATTTCTGAATGTCATAATTTTTAGAGACAAGGTTAGAGATTCAGAGAAAACTGCAGTATTTCTGGCTCAGCACTGCATGGGATTCTACTTTAACAAGTTAATGACCAGGAGACCCAACAATTGGCTTTAGAGCTCCTTAAGTCTATTAATTATACATTTAACTAAATCAAAATCACACCTGATGGACATTGCATGAAACAGCTATTAATGCTGCTTCCCAATTCACTGAGATATCCAATGCAAAACAAGTTTAATTACACTGATCTGCAGCACAGCAGGAAGGATGTGTCTATGAAAGCTCCAATTTAAAAAAAAAAATCATCTTTTAATGTCAAAAACAGTGTAAGGAGATCTATTCCTAAGTCTTCAGTGGTAAAAACTGAGAATTACAAACTTCTGATAATGCCCTCATGCTGGGCTTTCACTTCTATGATGGCTGCTGGACTCTGGCCCAATGTTCTGAAGATGAACAGAGGATGAATGTTCCCTAAAGCCCTGTGAAAAGTAAAGTGGAACTGAAAACTGGAAAAGGAAATCCACTCAGTGAGTTTGGAGCAGAAGCCAAGCATATGCTCAGAGTAGAGAGGTATTAAGAAACAAATCAAGGTCTCAGACCTTTCCCTTCTTGTCTTGCTTCTTTCAGCCCATTTCCCACAAAGCTCTTCTGTCTTGGAAGGAAACATCCACAGATGAAACAGATGCTTTTATGCATCTTCAACACATTCCTGTCCACTGCTGACACAAAGACTTCAAAGCAACCCAGACCACGATGCCTCAAAGCATCCGACAGATTAGGACATTGAACTTCTGTACCCAGGTGATATTTAGGGATGAAGGGCTGCAGAGCGATGCAGGAGCTTCCCCGTCTTTTAACCTAGGGCAGCAGAGGCATGGAAGAGAAGGGAAAAAGCCTATCTACAATCCCTTTGGTTTTCCTGCTTCCTCAAGAATGGAATCTGCCAAACAAGGTAGCTAAGGCAACCAGATGGGAGAGAGAATGAAGAATTAGCACATGCCACAGCCAATCCAGAGTCAACATTTCAGCAGGTTTAAGCTCTGAGCTATCTTAGAGAACAAGTAAAAGTTCACTTTCAAATCCCATTTTCCACTGCCTTCAGGTCTTCTATCAAGAATGCCTACATAACAGGGAGCTTTGGAGATCTCCCTCCTGCAAAACACCACACCAAATCCCAAGAATGCTATCAGCAGATGTGATTGCCTTACTCTAAGGAGCTGGTTAGGGACCCTGTGCAGGACCAAGGACAGGGAGGAATCCACATCTCCAGCTGAACTATCCAACCACCATAGCTGTGTACTAATGACAGGTCCAGAGAAAAAGAATAAGCCTCAGTTCTCCTCTTTTTCCTTCACTCTCCCTCCCCAAGAGGTGAAGGGATATGGCAGAACATAGCACCAAAGCTCACCATAAACATCTCGGGCACCTTAAATTTCCCACTGGGCTCTTCAGGCACTACGTTCCTGTTTATTCCTCTGTGTTGCGGCAGAAAAACACCCACTGAAGAATAAGGGTAGCAACTTCTAGGAGTTTCAGAAAGCTGGTGTCTGAGTCTGAGTAGAATTTCCTCCTTCATTCAAAGCAGCCTCAATAGAAATTTCAGAAAGCTCCTATGGTTTGACTGAGCCTTAAAGAGTAATAAAATGGATACACGAAGGTTTTGAGCCTACTTGACAAGATCAGGGTGAACTTCTGTCAAACAGAAGTTTTAATACAGCAGAATCCTACATACAAAGGTTGCAGTCATTAAGAAGAGAATAGATGCCAAATGATGTAAATTCCAGTTTAAAGGAAAGCTACAGGTGTTCTTGGGCTCAGCAAAACCCAACTGTTCATCTTTAGAAGCTCCTGCTGGAAGACATCTATTACAGACCATCTAAATCACTGGACCAAAAGTTTAGAAAACTCTTGATCCTTGTACACTCAACAGCACAAGACTTCACAAGACAAAGTTGACAGATTCCTAATCTGGAAGAAAAGGGCTAAAGAAGAGAGAAAGACTATGCTTTTCTTTCCCAAACCTAAGGGTAATTTAATGGCCAGCTTAGTGCAGCATGTGAAGAGGACCAATCCCACAAAACTCCAACTGATTCAACATTTGCTGGTCCTACAAAAGCCTCATTATTTATCACCCTGCCCTTAATCAGTTTATTTGTCTAAACCAAAGCCCCAGGATGCTGCTCGGATTGAGGATTTAGAGACTCCAACCATTCAAAACTCAGCATCTTTGTGATTCAGAGCTCTTTGATGATACACATGTGGTTGTCTGGAGTGCAGATACTTGGGTAGTTCAAATCCCTCATATTCTGATACACTGCTGCTTTGAGATGGTCCAGAAATTTCACATTCCTGATCACCTTCAGTCTCGGTGGTTTATGGCAGATGCTTTATGTTCCATCTGATTTTCATTTCAAGCATTTCCTTAAAGAATTCAGCCTAATTTTTGGTTTCTGGGAAGAAATGGTACATACTAATATATATATATATAGGATGGTGTTGGATTTTTTTAAATCCCTTTTCCCCATACATATTTGAAAGGGCACAACTGCTCCTAAGTCAAGAACTTCACATTTGAGCTGCAGCAGTTCTTGAGTTTCACTTGGCTCTCTTTCTGACTCTTCCACTCGCCAGAAGTTGTATAACCATTCACTGACACTTTTTAGAGTGCACTTTAATTTTATCCCAATTTTATACCCATTCTGTACATCAGATCATGGAAAGCTGGTGGAGCTGCCTACAGCTGACAGCCCCAGGGCTGAGAGACAGGATGCACAGGTTGATTTGGCTGCAGGCAGAGCCAGAACATGGACCCTGAAGTGGGTTTCCAAATCTGCTGACAGCAGTTGGTTGCAGAACCATCATATGATGTTTCTGTGCCTGTGAACCTGTTGTCCTCAGCTCACAGTCACAGCAGGCAATACTCTGTCTTGAGTTGCACGTGAGTCCCCACAAGGTGCTCCAGCAGGATTTCCCTTCCAAAGTGCTTCAATATCCTTTTTAATTAAAAGTTAAGACTTGGAGAGCTCTACAAAGCAACAGCCATAGAGATGAAATGCCCTGAATGCAGTTCAGAGGTGTCCTGATTAGGAGCTGAAGTCCCATGCCAGACCTACTACCAATGATGCACATGCCAAGAAATCATTTTTGAAACAAACTTTTTAAACCAGAAATAATTTTTCAGACTCTTTACTGCCACCCTGAAAATCACTTCCTGCCCCCCTTCCTCAACATGCCCTCAAATCCCCAGGGAAATTAGTGTGATAGGAGGGACAGATCCATTTGGAGTCAAGCTGATGCTAAGTCTCCTCAACTGTTTCATCCCAGCAGTCACAAAACACCTGGAGAAAGCATCCAGCACTAAACCACCATCTAAACCAGCAGGTCATCCCATTTTACTCTTCCTAGGAGAGTGGATACCACTAACTGCAGAACACATTGTGGTGGATGAAGCATTCCTAGTTGACAAAGCAGCTTTGTGGGAAGCAACTGCCTCAAACACATGGCATTTCCTTCAGCTGAGCATCAACAGCAGATGGCCATGTTCCTCTGCTGGTGGCAACCATCCTTGGTGAAAGGTAGTGAGGACACATCTAATAGCCTAGCCACACATGTCTCAAGCTTAAGTTGCTGTGGAAGGTGGCTTTGCACTAGAATACTCTCACATTTGGGGCTTGGGTGTGCATCTCATTTTCTTATGCCTAATCCAAGGAAGACCTCAGCGAAGGTGCAGTGGAGAGCTCTGGGACACACTGGCTTGAGTTAAGGAGGACTTTGTAGCAAGGTGGTGTCATAAATCCCCAAAGTTGTCCCTCACTACACTCTAATTCTTTACTTTATTCAAACTTTCCATGTCTGATACTTGAACACATGAACCAGCTCCCCAACAAGCTGTAAAAAACATGTTTTGCTGTCAAGCTGGGGCTCTGTAATCATGGTTTGCCCTGAAGACTTCTCACAGCCTTCAAGAACCTCTGAAAGTTTGTAAGTGAAAGGGGAGAAAGTGACTTAAAACCAACCAGGCCCTTGTGGGAGCTGTATAAAGCCCTAAACCTGAGGCTCAATATGAACACTACACTGCAGCTCCTGTGATCTGGCAACAGCAAACAAGCTATATCCTGTTTTAAAACCAAGCTGAAGTTACTGCAGCTCAGATTTTGTTTAAGCATTCTCAACTCCCACAGCATCACTATAATTACCAGTGATGAGGCTTGCAAAGACAGCAGAAAAGGCCTATTAGGCCAGTGCTGACTAATTAGGTAGCAACGAGTTGATCCGAGTCTACACACGACCATAATCAATCCATTTAATCGCCTCATTGCTTAATAAAAATTAAACCCTCAGCCACACACAGCAGTACCTTCATTAAGGAAACACTGCAAGATTCTCATCTCTGGTGCCCCACGCTGCCCATTCACAGCCTTTTGTCAAAACAGGCTTTTAACTAAGGAGTAAGAGAGCTATTACACATATCAAAGCACACATTCAATGCACACTGTAAACAGGACATCACATCACACAAAAAACCCAAATCAGGCCAATGCTTTCATAAACATTGGCCAACTTACCATCAGTGAAGTCCAACGCGTACACTGGAAGCCTTCGTGCAATGTCATCAGAAATCCCCTTGCCAACATTGAGAAACTCGTGCAGCTAAAGAAAGGAAGGAAGTGCTGTGTCAGTGTAAGGGCTCATGTATTGTTAAAGAGATTAACCTCCTTATTCAACCCTGCTAGGAGCAAACCTACTGCTTTTCAATAGGGCATTTAAATCCCAGCTTGTAATGATAATAAAAATAAACTTGTGGTGCTTCAATTTATATCCTCAATAGCATTGTAAAAGAGAAAATCCCCTAGACCACCCTGTTTTCCTCCCTTCCTTCCCCCTTTCCCCTCCCCTTTATATCTGCACCCCTGTTTTTCAGGTGAGGGAGCTGATACACAGCATGACTCACTGGAAAGGATTAGACCTGGGGTTAGAGATCAGGTCAGAGGTGCCTTACCCATCTCTCCAGACAACTTTTTCTGTGGATGCCAGCACAAAACAACTCTTGCCTAAATCCACATGAAGCCTCTGAAAGGAGATCCCAAGCAAGTGCTCCTTTCCTTGCCATTGTCATGGGAAAGGGACACCTCAAATAATTTAGCAAGGGAATTTTGTCTGCTCTTAAGATTGAATAACTTCACAGAACCAAGCCATAATTTCTGCCCCTAAAAGACACTCAGAACATCATGAAAAGGGTCCAAGAAACCCCAACATATTCCCTTTTATTTCTGGTTTGGTGGCCTGCAAGTTGCAGTGGAATTGCTGATATGGTCTGATGCTCACCGCAAGCAAAAGGAGCTTATCAGAAGTATAGGACAGCTGCTATTGACTCTCAGCCTCCCAATTTTCACAACTTTATCCTTATGGAAAGCACATGGAAAGTGTCAGGGTACGCAACACTTGCAAATGAGGCACCTGTCAGATTTTTTCCTGCTATCCTCAAGTCAGAGCACATACACTCCTCTGAAAATCAAATACACCTTTACACAGTAATAATAACTGCAGCTGCCTCATCTGCAACATTTCATATAATTGTTGCAGAACTAGACTCAAAAGACTTATAACCTCTTCTACGCAGTGTAAGGGGGAAAATAAAAATCACAGATCCAAAATGTACACTAACAGATAATCACAAAACAGCAGGGAGTTCTGCCTTTGGCTGCTTTATGTGGAAACTGATAAAAACTACTGATTTGGAAAGGACTTGACACTACAGGGCTTGTTTAATAGACTGCATACAGCTTTGCTTTTGCTCCTGGGACACACCTGTTGGCAGCACCTGGAAGATGAGAACCATAAATAAAACACAAAAAGGAAACTCCTTTAGAAGGAATACACTGGGCATGACAAGCTCTAGGGTTTGGGGTGTAAAAGACACCTCAGAGGATCAGCTCCATCAGTGACTATGAGATCTCATATTTCAGCTACTTAGGTCGATTCTGTTGCATTTTGCCAATCCACTTATATTACTTTAGGACAGTTTCATCAGGATGAAGAGACAGATGTTATGTTGGCAGACACCAGCAAAACATCTGCATTTTAAGCATGTCCCAAAAAGCTGTGAGCTTCAACCATATTTGGTGGCGTATCTGGACATCAATGCCATATGCACTCCAAAAGCTATTTAATCTTTACCCCCCCCCCGGAAAGAGATTCCTGAAGGCATGAGTCAGCCAGAGAATCACAATAGCTTTAATGACAAGGATGTTTACTTATCATGCTGCAGTGAGCACAGGGAAAATGATGCTCTGGGTATCTCATCTTCCGGGGAAGAAGGCACACGCCTGAGATGGCCTAGGGCAGGGAGGGAAGAGGCACTCATGCACAAAGCCTGTTTGGAGGCAGAAGTGAGCGTGCAGAAGAGAAACAACACAGCCAAACTTCTTGTCCTGTAAAGCACATTGAGGCAAATTCGAGAGCAAGGTGAGTCACAATGTTTGAGACCCCAAATTCTTTTGTGCATTTATTTCTTGCCCATGCACAGGTTTAGGCTAGGGTAGGGCATGAACATGCCAAGCTGAACCTCATCAATGGCTAAGTATGGGGAAAGCTGTTTCTTCTCTAAACTTTCCTCTCTCTACTACCTCATGCTCAACATGGGCTGCACTGAGGAGATCACAAAACCATAGAATAGTTTTGGTTGGAAGGGACCAAAATGATCTAGTCCCAACCCCCCCTGCCATGGGCAGGGACACTTCCACTAAACCAGGTTGCTCCAAGCCCCATTGAACCTGGCCTGGAACACTTCCAGGGATGGGACAGCAACAACTTCTCTGGACAACCTGTGCCAGTGCCTCACCATCCTCAGAGAAAAGAATTTCTTCCCAATATACAATATAAATCTGTCTTCTTTCAGCTTAATGCCCTTCCCCCTTGTCCTGTCACCCCATGCCCTTGCAACATATACCTCCCCAGTCTTCCTGTAGGCTGCCTTTAGGTACTGAAAGACTGCTAATAGAGCAAGTCACAAAAGATACAAAAACATAAAACCCAAGTTTACTGACCTCTGAAGTTACTGTCCTTTCTGGTTTTGCTTTTATCCCCCAGCCTACCCATCATGCACCTTCCTTGCCTAACTCTACTCCAAAGATGTTTCAGTCTGGCTTTTGCCTTCTGCCATCTTCTGATATTTCCAGAAACCTTAGGAAGGACACTTCAATGCTTCCTCTTTTTAATCTCCTCCCTCATACACTGTAGTGCTCGGAATTTTCCTGGACAGCTATTTCCTGCTTCTTTCTCCTTCAGTGACTCAAGTTGGACTGACCCATTGGCTTTCTACTCCCATATGTGGTGGCACCTCTCTCATTGCTTTCATTTATTGATTTAATATCCTGATATTACGTGGCCTTAGCCAGGGGCCAGAGCTGCATCCCTCACCACCCTCAAGGCTTATTAGCCTTTGGGAACCACAGCTCAGTTACCCAGCACCAAATCCTCCTCAAGTCTCCTTATTCTCCTCTCCTACAAGTCCTTTCAGAGCTTTGCCCACTATGGTCCTAATGAGGGAGGAAAGATCAGCAAAAGGAGCACAACAACAAAAAAAAATCCTAGATAAGGATCATGAATTATGAATTATTCATTTTCCACTCTAGAAATGCCTTCAACTCTTACCATAAGTGACCATTACTTGGGTTAGAACAAGAGGCTAAGCCAACAAATAACTGCAGTTACAAAGCCAAACAAAAACCATCTCCAACACCACCAACCCCTTCTCAGTTCTCACCCAAAGTACTGGGGGCTGCATGAGTATTTGACAGACACCAGGGACACACACTATATGCTCCCTTCTGCTGATGCCAAGCAAGCACAGCCCCCTCTGAGCAAATCCACACAGGACACAAAATCACAGCCAGAAAGCATCACAGCTGTTAGGGACAAAATCACAATTAGATGCCTCAGTAAACAAGAGGATTTCAGCCTGACTTAATTATGATTGAGTACATAGCCTTGCCTAAATAATCCACCAAGATGAGCGAAAGCAAAGGATGGTGCTGCAGGCACAGCATGGAATGTGACTGTCACATCCCCCTCAGTATTCTAGCACAGGTTAAAAACAAGCACTTGCAAAAATCCCACTCAGACAGAATTTGAGGCCAGTTTCTCTCCCATCACTGCAGGACCAAAGGAAGGAGGGAGGCAGGAAGCAGATTTTCATGCTACCAAGAGACTTTACACCCTTCCTGTCCCCTCCTGAGAGCTCACTTGTAATAATACAGCAGATCTGGACAAGGGTATTTATTTCACCGTGGGTGGTTGACAGGTTGAAATTACACTCCTGGTCTCATATGAGTTTGTGCTCATATTAAATGTTTCCTCTCTAGAAGGTTATCACACAGAGGGAGGAGATGCTGCTGGAGATGGCTCTCAGGAACTGAGGAATACAGTCTGTGAGCTCAAAACCATATCACTTATCCAGGCAAATCTTTGCTTGCCAGAAAAAAAAAATCTGCATTCCAGCTCTTAAGGTCTATGCTGGCAAGGGAGGGTGGGGAAGAGCTTCTTCCAAGAGACATGAGAAAGCAGACTTACCACCACACAGGCTGTATCTCTCAAGAGCTGCAGAATAATCCATTTAAAAACAACAATTTACCAAATCCAGGCCAACACTGTCAATGGCAAAAGCAAGAGCTGAAGAAACAAGTGTCACCATCTACAAGCACTAACTCAAAGCCATCAAAACTCTGCCTGGCCAAGGGTGCTTGTCCAACAAGGCAGATAGGGACCACCAGTCTCAGGGCGAATAAGCTCAGTGTTGCTCACCAAACTAGAGCAAAAAACCCTCTAGAGGCATTTTTAAAAAGGCTACTTTTAGCAGAAGGCAGCGCCAAACACTTCAACTGCTTCAACAACTACTCCTTTGAAAGATCAAGTGTAAAGGATGTGCAATGCCACAGTCCGCTCAGTGGGGTTAGGGGAAGGTAATTTTGCATTAACTCTAGGTGCTGCACAGGGCAAACAACGAAATTCTCAGGAGGTTTAGCAAGAAGTAATTTTTCCTTATAAACTTTGGGTCATCCGGGTGGAGTAAGACACTTGGCAAAGGTAACTCAGCAAACTTCGAAGCATCCAAACACAGAGTGAATTTCAACTGAGCACACGGCTGAAGAACAAAGTCCTTCACCAGGTGTTGAGCACAGCACTTAGTGAGTCCTTAACTGGATACACATCAGTGTGGCTTACAGCTTGTACACTGAGGAGGAGATGGGAGAAGAAAAAGAGGGAAAAAAAGAAGACAGATGAGAAAGAGAGAGGCAGCCACCACCCGTGGATCCAGCAGCTTTGAATCCAGGGTAGTAGAGGGCTGCATGGCACATGTTCCACTGTGCTTTTATCAGTCCTTTCGCCCAGGGCTCTCCCCAATGGGACGACATGCTTGTGCCTATGCTTCAGGCAGAGCCAGGGTGCTCCTGGCACCCATTTTGGGGCTTACAGCAAGGCTATGAGGTCACCAGCACCATTTCAGTGGGGACCGGCAGGGACACTCTACATGCTCACGGGGGTGAGGAGAGCTCACCCTGTTCCCACACCCTTTTCCCCCTTTCCCTTCGGTCCCTGACACAATTAAACCTAAATTACTGCTCCAAATACCCCTGCTCTGCAGGACCTTGGTTTAAAGAGGGTTTCAGGGCTTGTTCTGCAAACTTAAGAGCAGGTATGAGGTCTAGCAAAGTTCAAAGCATTACCTACAAGCAGGGGGATTCTGCAGAAAAAACCCATGAGCTTTGCTCATTTCCAGATGTGCAGATCAAACCCCTTAAATCTATTCCAGGAGGAAAGAAGTGATAAATTAAGCAGCTCCTGCACTGTAGGCAAGCCAAAGCTTTAAGGTTATTTGAAATTCAGGGACAGGAGCAGCATGCTAGAGATGGCACAGTTTGTTTTTCAGGTATGCTGTCTGGTTGAAGAATGAATTTCTCAATGGAAAAACAAAGCAATGAGCAATACACAGGAAATTCCAGAAAAGAAAGCTGAGTTACAGCATTTCCCTCAAACTTTAAAGTACAAAGCAAGTAATGTTTTACAGAGCTACAGATCAAACAGTGAGAAGTCAGGCCAAATACTGACAGGCCACTTTAAAGCAAAATTACCGTGCAGAGATGGCCAAGAAGCCTTTTGGCTGTGGGAAAGACAAGGAGCAGCTTCTTTCAGAGTCTTGTGATTGTAGGGATTAAGTACCTTGGACTGACAACGCACAGCGATCCATTAATCCCACCCTTGACTATGCATCTGGAATCAAAGTCCTGTAACCATTTCAACCCTCAACTGCTCTGCATCACTTCAGCACCTGCCTCTTTGAAGTGGTTGCTTTAGATTTACAGCAGAAGCTGAGGAAGTTGGATGTACACACAGGCCATTCATGGAAGGCTCAGTGCTGAGAGCTTGCTAGGAGAGCTGCTGGCATCCACTGGACTCAAGTGCTTCATCTCCCCACCCCAAATCCACTTGGATTTAAGCATTTGGACACCACTGGAGCAGAATGGCAGAGATATTGCTCAGCCTTACCTTGAGTGGTTTATGACCATGTGACTTGTGCCCATCGCTCATCCCTGAGGGTCTCTGATTCACCACCGTCAGCAAGTGGCGTTGGTGGACTAGTGCCTCCTTAAATTCCTCTTCAGTTTTGGTTTCTAGGAGTTTCTGCCGAAAGGTTATGTCCGAAAACATTGTTGCAAAGGTCCTGCCCACTTCTGTAGCTGTCTTGGTACTTTTCTGAGCAGAATTAAAAAAGACAGAAAAAACTTCATTGTAAAACTGTTTTCTTTCACTTCCAAAGGATAAAACCACTGATTTACCCCACTGGGCACCATCTGAAGGGCAAGCTGCCTGACTTCCAGAACCCCAGAGACACCTGAGGGTAAAGAGCACATGTGAAAGATGTTGCAGACTAACACAGCAACCACAGCAGAATCCTGTGAAGGCACCAAAATGCAAGTCCTGACCAGAAGCTCTGATCAGTTTTACTTGATCAACTTCCCAGGACTCAATCCAAAGCTGAATTATGCTGAGCATGCATTTTATCCCTGGCTTCCCCTCAAGGCTGCTGGGACTAGACAAATAAGTCTTCCCTATTTTACAGAACCTCAGCATTACTACTGCTGGGGTGGATAGATGGTGTAGTCAAGATTCCTGCAGGTACAAGTGTCCTGATGTCTTTTCCAAAAGTCTCAGATTATTGGGCACATGTGCTTCATCAGCTGCCTATTTTCTGGGCATTAGAACTCATTTCAGTTGGCCACTCTGCAGCAATTCTGGCAGCACAAGTGGAGATTTAGAGCTCTCAGCAAAAGTAACTACTGGCACTGAGGAAAGGATGGGAAAGAAGCAGCTGAGCACACACAAGCAGCACTTGTCTATCTTTACTAAATGCTTGGGAGGAACAGGAGACTTGCAAACATGATTTTAAAAGTGCCTATTTGTGGACTTAAACATTTCTGTGGGCCACAGCCCTGACCTTTGGGGGTTCAGCTTCAAACAGATTCCGAGCCTGCATTCCATTCCTACTGCTCCAAGCACAGTGGAAATTAGCTACAAAGTAATGAAGATTTGAGTTCCCCATCCCAGGACAAACCCACCAAACCTAAGCTTTACAAACCATGACTTGCTCAGTTGCTGGTAGCACATAAAATACTTACCACGGCAAAGTTACATACAATCTTAGGTCAATTAAAGCTCCTTTGGATACAAACTTTTAATCCACCCCCCCTTTGCTACACTCCACACCCATCACGCAGTGCTAGAGACACCCAAACATCGCCCCCTCCTTTGGTCAGCCTCCAAGCTCATCACGTTACTGGGAAAAACAGAGTGAGCATATATGATTGATCTGAATTGTTTTTCATTATTAATAACAAAACAGATGAACAATTTCTTCATGAACACTACCAAATAATTGAGTGTGATTTGATGCAGAGGCACAGACACATGGGTGGTACTGTGCTAGTCCCAAAGTCATCACTAACACACTTTCTCCATCACTCTTCGGGAACTGAACTAGATGGGCTTTAAGGTCCCTTCCAACCCAAACCATTCTATGGGTCCATCACCAGCAATGTCCTTTCATATACACTTGATAGGACACGTTCAATTTAAGTTTCTAGGGAAAGGTTTGGATTTATGTGAAGATAACCTGCTCTAGGATTTGCTCTTAGAGTTTGTAACCCTTTCAGACTGAACCAGCCTGGATTGGCTACCACAGGAGAGGCTTCACCTCCTTCCAACCCAAACCATTCTATGGGTCCATCACCAGCAATGTCCTTTCATATACACTTGATAGGACACGTTCAATTTAAGTTTCTAGGGAAAGGTTTGGATTTATGTGAAGATAACCTGCTCTAGGATTTGCTCTTAGAGTTTGTAACCCTTTCAGACTGAACCAGCCTGGATTGGCTACCACAGGAGAGGCTTCACCTTTCACCTCTAAGCAGCAGTTATCCTTGGGCTGGACGCTGCAAGGATTACTTCACGATTCCCAACGCTGACCCTGTTCCTTGCTTTCCCAGAGAGAAGGATGAACAGTTCAGAGAAAGAGCACAGATATGTGCAAGAAAATTCCAGGTTTTTTTCCATCCTTCATATTAGAAAGGCCAAGGATCTCGATTCCCAGCACAACAGATGCCCATATTCTGGACTTTTTTTCCCCCCTCCCAAGCAAGGCCCATTTAATCCGCTACTGTCAGCAGGTTAATTCTTTTAACTGCTGTAGCAGAACTGAATACTTGGAGCTGGCTACATCACCTCATTTCAAGTAAAAAGCATATTGGCAACTGCAGCTCTGCTTGGCCTCCACTCCCCTTCCTTAATTTGATGCTGTCCATTGGAATTGCAATCTCTCAGGATCCAAGCGGATGCAGAGCTGTTTGCACGTAGCTGGCTGGAGATAACAGCTGCCATACAATGAGGGAGAGATCAATGCAACTGCACACAGGTTCAGCTGTTTGCCTGCTGCTTTTCATAAGGAACATCAATATGTTTTCAGCCTGTTGGCGCTGAGATCTATGCCAAAAGCACTGAACTGCTCAGTTGGGAAACACTGGCCAAAAATCCTGGGAAAGAAGGAAACACCAGTATTTCCATTTAAACAAGGGTGGTGGTGAAGGGGAGGAGACAGACAGGAGTCCCAAGGTCACAAAGACAGCACTGAAGGGCAGGAAGTTGAATCAGGATATATCCTGTTCCAGAAAAGGTCCCCGACCTCTCCAACACCTCCCAAGAGCACAGACCTAGTAGCCCCAAGATGCAAACAACCAGTTTAAGTGTGAAAAGGTCTTAATCTATGAACCATTCAACCATTAGCTAGAACAACACACCATCTTGGTCAAGCCAGTGCTTCCTAGGAAGATGTTGATCCCCAATCAATCTTGACACACCCTGTGATACTGCAGTTGGACTTTGATGATCCTTGTGGGTCCCTTCCAACTCAGGATATTCATGATTACAGTAAATGTGTTCTACTGTGCCACTTCTTTGCCTTGTCTACACCAAAGAACCAGTAAGTACAGTCGACCAAGTTTTAACCTTGCTGTTTCAAGTGCCAAAAGCACACCCTAAAGGACCTCAGGGACATGACATTAAAAGCAGCCCAGCTCCCAAAAGGTCTCACCCATACTACAAGAGAGCTCAAAACCCATCATCATCTTGGTTACATCATCTACAGCTGCTGCAACCATATCTTCAGGGTAACTGTCAGACCCATTGAGTTTGGCAAGCAATCCAGTGGGGCATCAGCTGTAGACTCATGAGAGCCTTTCACAAGCATGACTTTAACCAGGAACAGCATTCCATACCTCCAAAAATAGCAGCTACACTGGTAAAGCTGGGGGAAAAAAATCTGTGGAGTAATACATGCATCACAGATGTTTAAGAGGACTACAGACACTTGATCTGCAGTGTTCTCCCAGTCAGGCCACAAGCCAGGAGATGAGGATTTAGCTGAGTAATCTACTCCTCACAAAGAGTATAAATCATCATGAAAACTGCTGAAAAGATCTCAGAACTTTTTACATCCCCTTGTGTTTTAAAAATAATCATTATTAACCCTAGATGGAGACCAAGGGAAAACCAGGCCTGGGAGAACCCTCTGAGGCACCAGAGCAAATATGAACGCAGTACTCACCATTTTAGGAGGAGCCAGGACTAGTATGACAAATCTGACTTCGCAGGAGTTTTCCCCCCAGTTCTGAGGTCTCTCCAGGCGGCTGATGCAAACGTGACGCCGCTGAAGGGACTTTATAGTGCAACTGTCAGGGAAAATGGCATCGTTAGACCTGGCACCATGGCACATGGCATGTCCTCTCCTGGTGCATGAGGTTCACAAACAGACATTCCAACTCTGAGAAACATAAGATGTTGGTTTAAGACTGCTAAAGTCTTCAGCAGTGACTGAGTTATTGTCAGGCCAATTTTGCTACCTGTTTTGTAAAATTTGACATCCATGTTCTTATGGGAAATAACTTTCAAGATTTCAAAGAGTATTTCTCCATCCATCTGCTTTTAAACAGCCAAGAAACTAAACATTAGAGAGTGCAACATCCTTAGTACTTGCAGAGCTACAGAAGCTTCTACAAAAAAAGCCTCTTATTAAAAAAACACCTACATTATTGGAAAGCAAATTACACTTCATTTCACCTGATCTCCCAAGTACTTCTGGAAACATCAAGGCAAGGGCCAAACCAATTTATTTCCACTTTAGCCTTGGGCACTGTTGTAATTTTTTCTCCCAGCTGTTATTTTCCCCCTGTGTGGTACAAGTTACAGAAACCAAGCTGACCTCTTTGCTCCAGATCCACAGAGGAGGCAGCAGGCAGGATTACTGCTTAGCTTAGAGAGAAATCCTTGGCTGCAATCCAGCCAGCCTTGCTGGGGCTGGGATTTTTGACTCCCACAACAAAAACTAGCAACAAGTTGTTTGAAATAAACAGAGATCATCTCTGGAGGCCATGAAAGACCAAGTTTGTCTCCACCCTGGGATATTTAAACAGAGCTGTGACCTGATTAGGTGTCACTTTTCTTGCTGGGAAACTCTGGGCCTTGGTGCAGATGCAGGAGATAGCTAACACCAACCCAGATTGCAGCTCTCCTGTTCCCATTAAAGCCATCTACTACTTCTCAGCTGTTCTAAAAAGCACTGCTGAAATATGTACAACAGGGCTTGGGGTTTGCCTATTGACACTGGAAGAGGTATGGAAGTGCTTTCCTGCCTCAGAGTGATTTTTTTCCCTCTCCCCTTTTTTCTGGTTCACAGTTATTTCATTTGCTTTCTCCTTTTTATTCATCTAACAAGCAACTATCCCAGTCCTCTTATAGGAGTATTTATTTCTCCTTCAAGTTCTATTCCACAATCCCAGCCCATTTCTTTTCTTTTAACATGTATTTTCACACCTATGCACCCTAAAGGCTGCTCCATTAACAGCTCCTGAAGATCTTTGGCTGGAGATGTACTAGGCAGGAGCATTTCCTATCAAGTTCTTCATAATTCACATTAAAAAAGAATAAAATCACACCAGCAAGTATTTTCTGAGTTTGACTTCCTGACACAGATTGAAAGCAGCCTACTTGTATCAATTAATCTGACAAAAATACTTGTCAGAGAGCTACCAAACAGCTTAATTAGAACAATAAAGGTCACAAGAAAGATGACAGTACTTAATTACTCTCCTAACTCCCTTCCACCATGGTCCCTTGTCCTTTTTATACTCAGATCAGCTTTGAAAGAGAGAAGGATCAAGACAGGTCCTAAGATGAGAAATAATTATCTTCTAAGGTAACTGAAAATAAAGTGCAAGTCATCTCAATTAAACCAATAGACTGGATCTGCAACAACCTTGTCCTTCCTCAGAAGGGATCAAAGCAGCACAGACAACACTGGTTTTCACAACCAAATCAAAGCCCTTGGTAGCAATCCAGCTGTGGCTGGACAGCAGACAAGTCTCCTTGTGCTACAGTTCAATGAGCCAACAGGGAAGACACAAACTCTGGGCTTTAGACTAACTGCAAAATGTTCAAGTGGTCCAACACCTTTTCTCACAACTTCATCCATGTGAAACTGTCACCAACACTGAATGGTTAGTGCACCATTAGCAAAAATGACCCTTATTTTGAGCTCTGTTCTCAGCATTTTCATACCACAGCTGTTGAGCTGACCAATTAATTTGTATTGAAAATGAAAGTTTTCTGGGCATTTTGAACATCATTTCTATTCCAGTCACGGTCAGAAGAAGTTATCAGCTACCTGTTCCTCAGAGAGCTATACTAACACTTCCCAGACACTACATCTTTCCTACCTTGCCTATCAGGCAGGACCTAACCTAGGATGAAACCACCAAAGTATAAAGTTAATCGAAGAAACCTACTCCACAGTGCAATAATTAAGCAAGCCACATGCTCTTCTGTAGTTAGCTTTCTCCCTCAAGTGACTGGGTTATGTTTCAGCTCCATGAACTTGTCTTCAGGGCCATGTTTTCCAGAGACAAGAGTGCTGCCAACAATGCCAGTCCACAGGTCTATAACCCCACTTCAGCTCAAGGGCTTCTTGGGTTCAGAGGGAAAACTTGACTCTAAAAGGCTTCTCTTTGTTATTGGACCACTTTCACATACAACCTAATTTTCCTGGCAGCCACACCAAAAACTTGTGTTTCTCTAAATCAGGAGTCCAAGTTTCCTTTACTTGGAGGACTGGGAAAGTGTGGAAGAAGAGGCTCTCGCAGTACTGAAAGATTTAGCAACACTGAGCAAATTTACAAGACACCAAGAAACTCACTGTCAGCATTAACCATTTCAATCTGAAACAGTTTTATCCACAGTGCTGGAGATTGAGGCTTCTTACATCTGTGAAAGTGTCTTCCAGCTCTTCTATTAAGAGCTCTATTGATACTGACATGTGCATCTGAATCCCAACATCCAGCAAAACTGAGTGGGGACCACTGAAAACTTTCCAACCTAGTTAGGTGAACCCACAGGCGATTTAGGTGAATATCTTTACAAATCAAACAGGAGTTGATTTAGTGAGGGCAAACCTGATTAAAAGCAGGTTTAGGCAGGTGCCACAGAGAAGGTGTTATATACCTGAGCACTGCTTCATGGAGGGAAGAAACAGTGCATTGTGCAGAATGCAGCCTCTCCTGCACTGAGACTCCTCTCCCTCTCTTAAATCCATTTATTTTTGGGAAAAAATGCTGTCTCAGTACTTTCTGTGCAAGGCCAAGTCACTTCTGCCCATGCATCATTAAACATCTAAAGCTTTTCTTCACATTTAAGCCATTATTTAGCTGACAAAGCCTATTCCCTGGTCTAGCACTTAGAGCTCCCATTTTTGTTTTAATTACAGAATCCAGATACACATATAACACAAACCTTGACTTGTGCACAATACTTGACTTGTGCAAGTATTTGGAAAGGACAAAAACCAGTTACATGGTTCACATGGAGATATCTCAAGTTAAGCAAGACTGCAGGTAAAATTCAAAGCTCAGGCCAAGAGGAGAGTCACTTTCAAAATGAAACAACTTTTTTCAAGTAGCACTCAAATTCTAAGAAAAAAACCTGAAGGGTAAATAGCCAAAGCCCAAAAAATCCTGAGAACCAGCAAGACATTTTCAGCTGACTCTAAATCAAACCTGGTTTGGCCAAAGACTCCAAGTTCCTTTTTAGTTTGAGTTGAGCTGCATTTGATTCTTTCTTAGTTTGGCCAGAAAGCTAAAAAAAAAATTTAAAAATTCTATTTTCACCCAGTATTAGTCACAGAAGGAAATAGTAGATTATGATTTAATGAGATGTCAGGTTGAGTTCTCAGCAGTTTTATCTTGATCCTCCAGTAACTGAGCTCATGAAAAGAGCATTTAAATTATAGCATAAATTCTGCTTTGCTCTCCTCCTCTCTATATCTGGTGGTGCTGAGTGTGGCACTGGGACAGTGAGAACTGGCAGTGCTTCACCAAAATCACTGCTACACTGAGTCCCACAGGCCACAGGTCTGCCCCACACCCAAGATGTTATCAGAGTAATAACACATTTCTCAATCAAATCATAAAAAGAGTCAAAGCATGGAGACCTAAGAAACAGAAACCCTCTTTAACCAGGGCAAGAAAGGAAGTTAATTCAGAAACAAATTATCCCTTGCAGTAAGATAAAGTGCCCAGCAGAGGTAATCAGCCAAGCAGCCTCTTCCTTGTCCCCACGCAGAACAATGACACTTCTTGTTCTCATCCACTGCAAATAGATCTTGCTCTGCAGAGCAGCTCCAGGCACAAACTTTCATAAACCAGAATCTGCAAGTGAGGAATGAAGCTGTGACCAGCCAGATCACCCACAGCTTGGCATGGGGTGATTTCAGCCACAACATCACTCCAAGTTGGATGTCGTTTTCAACTGGTGACTGCCCCTTGCTGGGCTCCAGAAAGACTCATTCTCTCTAGCAGTTCATCCCTCCAGGGGAAAGTATTTCCTATAGGTCAATGTGTTTTCGGAACTCCTTTTCCGAACACAACACCCACTGAAGCTTCAGCTCTTCAGCACAGCCTGGGACAGCTCAAAGGTGGAAGAGGCACTTAAAAGAAAAATCAATCAGTTCTCTTAACTCAAAGAACACTTGACAGATGATGGCCATAGATGTGGTACTTGGGGACATGGTTTAGTAGCGAACATGGTGGTGCTGGGTTAATGGGTGAACTTCCCCTTCCAGGTAGAGTTTAGCTTAGACATTAGAAATAATTTCTTCCCAGAAAAGGTGATTGGACACTGGAATGGACTGCTCAGGCAGGTGGTGGAGTCACCATCCCTGGAGGTGTTTAAGGAGACACTGGACGTGGCACTTAGTGCCATGGTCTAGTTGACATGGTGGTGTTAGGTCACAGGTTGGACTTGATGATCTCTTCCAACCTTGATGGTCTTTTCCAACCTGATGGATCCTGTGATAGTCTTAGCTCCTTATAAAATCATTAAAGTTGGAAAAGACTTCTATCTTCTCCCTGTACACATGCTGCAAGCACTGAAACAAGCCATCTTTGTCCTTCAGGAACCAAATTTCTAATGAAAGGCTTGAAAGGCTTGAATTTGAGACCTTTTCATAACACGGCACCTGAAAGAGGTTCAGCTCTCCAGCATAATCTGGGACAGCCAACAAGGATGGAGAGGCACTTAAAAGAACCCAAAGAACACTTGAGAAATGACGGTTGTAAATTCTGGAGGGGAGGCTCTTGTTTACAAGACTCAAATCTTGTAATCATTCCTCTAAATGAAAATATTTGTTTTAAACAGTTGAACTGTTTAATTTCCCATAGCATCCCATTTTGCCCTTTAAAAGAAGGGTCAATATTCTGAGGAATACACAGTAACATCTAAATTTGAAATCTACTCAAAGGCTAAATCAGCAGCAACATGAGTTTTCTACAGACCCACAGACCTTCAGGTCTGGAAAAATCCTTAAACACGTGAAATAAGCTTTGCATTACTTCTGTTGAGAGAGACATGAGTAACACCTTTTCACAGCCATCAGTTATACATTAAATCTGACAACTTAATACTCAAATTTGCCTCTATTTGAACAGCAGCCTTGCTTGATATCCAACATAACTTCACAGTATACGTTTTTCAAAGGCTACCTCGGTTTTTCCAAGTTAAACTCTTCCACAGGAATCACTGCCATGACACACTACATCAGAGCAAGAAATTTTATAGCAACAGAGCACACAAACCACTAAACCACTCTTTGCTGGTGGAGAGGCTTTTCTTCCTCTGCTTTGCCTTCTAAAACAGCTTTAGCAAATCAGTTTAATGCACCGAAAATAAGTCCTCCACCAATCCATGTGTGTTATCAATCCAGCCAAAGGAAACGGCTCTTCAACTACTCAATCCAGGCTACGAAGCAGCTTGCTTTCATGTTTTTCTAAGGATTCAGCTTTGGAAGAAAGCAATTATATCTATCTGCTGGCAAGAAGAATATAGCCTGGAAACTGATGCCTGGGAGTTCCACTCAGCACAGGGAGCACTTGCTCTATAACCCACACAGCTGGTGTTTCTCCTAGGGGGACATCAGGGAGAGAGATGCATCAGCAACCAGTTAACAGTTACTTTTACATCAGATATCCCTTGATCCAAGGGGAAAAAAATTTAACATTAGGGATTTTCATCTCTATAGTTCAGCCAGTGGAAGAAACAATTGGGTGTGATAGGGCTTGGCTTGCAATGAGAGCCACTTATACCCTCTGAGATTAAGGTGGGGCTTCCTTGGGCTTTTGAGACACAAAACAGTGCAGCATCAAAACCAGTAGCTCTCACAGGAGTTTCTTCTCCACCTTTCCCATTCCAGACATCCAAAGCATCCAGTTCACCGCTCCATGCTCTGGGACATGGCAGGTCTGTGTGGGACACGGGACCTCCAAGCAGTCTCCTGGCAGCACCTCTACCTGCTGCAGCCATTGCATGCTGGAGGGGCACCAAAGTACCTCCTGAGCTCCTACTAACAGCTGAGCTTCCCCATGCTAAATAACTGAGCATAGTAGTTCAGCACTACCCATTCTGGGACAGGTCTGGCTGTCCCTCATCCCAGGGTCTCTAATGAAACAACAACCAGCAGCTTCACAGTGAAGCAGTAAATGATCTCCATCCCAGTTGTATCTTCCTGTTCTGGCAAACATTATGAATAGGAGAAAGAAAGAGTTGTGTCCAGGACTTCTATGGTATGAGAGCACTTCCTTGGCTGATGAAGCTAATCTCTAACTAAAGATTTGCCTTCCTGTTAGAAAACCACCATGTACACAAACAGCAACCTTCATTCTTCCAGAGCTGAATACTGCTGGCCAACGGGGAATGCACAGCTCTGCCACTCTCAGCCCCCCTTTTAATAGAAGAATCTCAAGGTTTCCATAAGCTTATGGATCCTGCTATGGCTTCAGCAAGATCAGGGTTTGGTCATATCTTGACAAAAACAGCTCTAAAGCCTATTGTGAATTAGGACCCACCTGTTTTCCTGCACTTTGGTGGCACGTTCAAACCTTGAGGTATTCAGTTCCTCAAGGGTTTGTTCTGCCATGTGGCTAAAGCCCAGATCCATATGGTACATCTGACCTTGCTGGAGCTTCACTAGACCAGAAACCATCAGGAAAGCACCAATTCCAAGAGAAGCAGAAAAACTACTTGACCCTAGGTTTCCCCCACCACTCTGGCCACAAAGGATAAGTCAGATAAGAAAGAGCAGCCTTTCTTTCCAGCACAGAAGAAAGGGAACAACATTTTTGTCTCCATTAGGAATGCTCTTCTGCAGCCAGAGTCAGCACAACTCAGGGAAAATCCTACACATTTTCTGACTCTAAGCTCATTCCAACTCTAATATTTCCCCTCATAATCAATGCAGAAGCAACACTACCAAAACCACAACTCTGAGCTGCTCTGCCTCACGAATATAATCCTAACATGATACTCAATTTTATCTCATCCACTAGGAATAAAAAGTTGTTTAAGGTGCACAAAACCAGCGATTTAAAATTTAGCAAAGAGTATAGACTAAATGCAAGGCTAAAGAACGACAGATATCTTAAAGGTTCTTCCCACTCATATGGAAAATTTTCTTCCATCAATAAATTCCTTTTACTTCAGAGGTTTGGAAGTTGTTTTGCAATCTGATTTCAAGAAAAATGTAAGATCTAAAAATATGGTTCCCAATCTGTTGCACAATAGCTCCAGCAAAAATCCAGTGCAACAATTAGATAATTATAGTTAATAACTCATCACTGCTTTCCCACTTCTTCTCCCTCTTCAGAGCAACAAAAGGAAGAAACAAGGAAAGTTTTGCACAAGACACCTTCAGGCTGTGAGCTTATTTTTCAAATCATCTCTTGTCATGGAAGCCAGAATTACTCACATGGATGCATTTAAAGCATTGGCTCACTTCCTACACCAGGCTGAACCCACCCTTTTCAGTCTCATGTATGTAATCACAGCATTGTAACATGACCTCCAGAATGCTTTGTTACTAAGTCAACACTCTCCATAGAGCTGTGTCACATCCCACAGTGGAAACTTCCATCCCCTACATTAGTAGGATATACATATCCTTATTGCTTCTATACTACCTGTGGCATTCAAAGGGGAAAAAATGCTCAGAAGCCCTCTTGGCTGAGGACATTATACTGTATGAACTCATTTTCTTCTTTGTGCAAGCTGCTCTGGGCATGTCAGGTGTAAAAGTAGAGCTGACAGTAGCACATGGAACACAGACATCATCCAGTTCACCTATTTCACAGGACACAGCCCTGATATCCAGTAGTTTCTTTCTCATATAGAAATCACATCTTCGGCTTTCATAAGAGACTAAAAACAATGGTGAGGTTTTTTTCTTGCTGTTTGGAGTGTTTTTTGTTTTGGTTTTATTTTGTTGTTATACTTTTTTAACAATCATCTATTTCCAAGGCAAAATCCTCTGTATTTTTCCCAGTCATAAACAGGAGGGAGGACAACAACTACTAGTAGAAGGAAAGCTGTTGTGACAGTTGTCCTAGTAAACTGGCTGTGAAGGCTAAAATGTGTGCATGCCTTTAGGCACCTATCAAACATATCCTAGTAATTTCTCTGGGAATTAACATATTTCTTGACAACTTGACTTCAAGACTGCATATGCATAAAGCAAGAGGCAGAGTCAAGATGGCATTGCTTTGGTTGGCCCAGTGAGTCAGTCCTGGCATGTCCTCTGTGAAGGGACACACTGGCTCACCCCACATGCCTGACTTTGAAATAACAACTTCAAAGCCCAGTTTTGGGCAAGTGGAAGCTGGGATGAAGCCAGCACATCTCATAAATCCCAGGTGACAGGGTCCTTACTGTCTTAAGGGTCTGCACCAATGTTTAATGGTGTTGAAAGTTAATCAGCATCTGAATTAATTGTCAGACAAAGTAATCAGTGTCTAAATAGTGTGGAATGTCTGCCTTCAATTTTCAGTTACAAAGTTTAGATGTTTTCATCAAAGAACCCAAGAAATCTTTTGGTACAAGCTCCCAGACTTTGGCAGGCAAAGCAGTCCATGAACCAGTTTGTCCCTTTGAGAAGTGCCTTTATTAGCATTTCTCAGTAATTAGCATTTTCTGGCTCGTTTTCTCAGCATTCTTAGCTTGTTAACACCAGATTTCTATAGCATCCAAGAACTTAATGCTCTGTAGAGACTGTGGTCACCTCTGCCCAGGCTACTGCTCGTCCAAGTGCAAAGAGAAGCAGCTAAATACTGAGACCCCACAGGCCAGGATGGATGGGGAAGACATCACCATCTTGACTTAAAAGGACACATTCTGAACCTCTATGCTTCCCAGCAGCCGAAAATGTTACAAGTTCAGGGCACTCACAGTGGATTTTGCTCCTCCAACCCAGGTACTTACATGATACAGAGCCAGGACTGCTGGTACTGCACCCCCGTGACTGTCGCTGTGACCCCTTGAATTGTATCTGATAAGAGGTGAACTAGGAAAAGAAGAGAGGCAAATGTTACACGATGTCCACATTCGGTTTGCCACTGCAAACAACATTTCCTTTTAAATACAAGCCAACTACTAATCCCAAGCATTCTTATTTATCTGCACAGTGGATTGATGCAGGGGTGGGGGCTGACAGAGAAAGATGGAAACATTTGTCCTGATGCTTTGGAATTCTGTCCTTAAACTATTCACAGCTTGCAAAGGCAGCTGCTTTCTCCTCCCAACATCAACCTACTGCAGTATTAGGTTATTAGATTAGCATTATCCAACACACACACACACACAGACAGGACTGGAAGAGGCATCAATCTTCCGAATCCCCTGCCCTCTCTCCCCCTCATCCCAACTACTGCTCTCAGATTATTTTATGGCACTACTTATTTTTATTTTATTGGCAGAAAGCCTAAATTAAAGAGATTATAAATGCAAAGCTCTAAGACAGGTAGCAAGAAGTAACCAAAGCATGAACATGCTTACTACATGCTCAGGACTTGACATATCTGTTAAACAAATTCACTCAGGCTGTGACAGTTACATTTGAGGTGCGATGTACATGTTTGTATATTCATTCCTGTTGACTCTGAAACATCATGGGTGCCTACAGAGAAACAATGCTCAGTTAAGCTTCTTCACATCTTGGCCTAAAAGGCAGCTTTTTAGACTACACTATGACATTTGCTGATAGCTAAAAGTGACAAGTGAGCCAATAACACCTTGGCTAGGGCTGCCCTGGTTGAGTTACTAGTGGAAAACAAAATGCCTCTCATCCCTTCCAGTGGGCTGGGAGCAACACAAAGGCTCAGCCCTCCCCAGTTATTCATCCAAAGCAGGCAAAATTCCCCAGCCTGTGTGAATTCAGATGGAGAATCACAAGGCAGAGGAGTAATTTCTGAAGAAACACCAGCAAGTGTCTCTTGGCTGAGGAACACTGGCCCCTTGTCTGAGGACAAGCACACCTAAAGGGTCCACACAGACAAGACACTCCAGTGCTGTAGACTTCTCACCCCAGAGAGCACCACTACGTGTCATCTTAATGAAATAGGGGCAAGACTCCACCAAAACACAAAAACCCTGGAGACATGAGACCCTCAGTCTGAGCAACATGGGGGGGGGGGGGGGAAAACCAACAAAAAAAAATCAACCCCCAGTGTCACATGCAACATACAAGCTGGGGACCAGGCAGGGAGTGCTCAACACACCACCAATGGAAAGGATGGCAAATTAAGAGCAGCCCACCAGCCAAAGCAAATCAGGAGCTGATTACCATTCCCTTCTCGTGGGGTCCCTGAATCTGTGAATAAAGTGCTCATGATTTTTTCAAAGTTGCAGCTAGGCTCCGTGTTTTCAGGATCTTCTGCAAAGTGTTTCAGCATCTCTCGAAGAACATCGTCCAAGGACGTGGCTGTTTCATCAAGGATGATGCTGGCTCTGGCCAAGAACCCATCCAGGTCTCGGTGGGCTCTGACTTCCTCCTCAAAATTCTTTAATTTCAGGTACTGTGATAGGAAAAGATCAGAGCATTAGGCAGCTTTACACAACACCTGACAGCATAAGAAAGGTACAAAGCTATTAGAAAGCATCCAAAAGAGAGCTATGAAGATTAAGGGTCTAGAGGGAAAGACGTGTGAGGAGAGGCTGAGGGCACTTGGCTTGCTCAGCCTGGAGAAGAGGAGACTGAGGAGAGACAGACCTCATTGGGGTCTTCAGCTTCTTCACAAGGGGCAGTGGAGGGGCAGCACCGATCTCTGTGCTCTGGTGACCAGAGACAGGACTCAAAGGAACAACATGAAGCTCTAGCAGGGGAAGTTTAGGTAGATATTAGGAAAATGTTCTTCCCCCAGAGGGTGGTTGGGCACTGAAACAGCTCCCCAGGGCAGTGATCACAGCACCAAACCTGAGAGAGCTCAAGGAGCATTTGGACAATGCTCTCAGGCACATGGTGCGATTGTTCAGGTTGTCCTGTGCAGGGACAGGAGCTAGGCTTGGTAATCCTTTTGAGTCCCTTCCAACTCAGGATATTCTATGATCTGTGTCATCCACAAACAGTTTTGCTGAGGTTTCTGCCACCCAATCAATGATTCTAGAATAACATTGACCATTTGGATCACATTACAGAAGAAAATAAGCTTTCTACAATAATGCACTTTCAAGGCTTACCCTAACAGAGTACCCTTAGGTGAATCCCAAATACCATTTATACACTGGCACAGAAAGGAAGATTTTTTTTTAAAATATGGTATTTTTGCCTAGGATAAAGCATATAAGTTTGCAAAATTGCTTAAGGTAACATTTAAAATCCTCTTTAAATAATTCAAGAAGTTTGCAGAAACATGGGAAAAGGGACTCTGAGCTCAGCAGCATGAAAAGTTACCAGTATGAATCTCAGTGCAAGCTAATCCAGTTATTCTCAAACTGAGAACCATCTCTTCCCAGCCCTCTCAGTTGGGGAGCCTGAAGTGGGAGGTGAGGAATGCCATCCAGCCAATAATTTTTTTGATACTTCCTAAATCTCTGTTGTTTGCACTCCCAAGGAAGTTTTCCTCCTTTGTGAATAACATTTAGCTTTAAATCAATAAGGAAAAGACTGCAGAGGCTGAAACTCTAATCTCTCTGCTGTTTCCTTCTGCTGTCCCAGATTTGTTGGCCTTGGTGTGTTACAGAACCTCAACTCCTCTCTGTATTTGTCAGCTGTGAAGTTTGTTGAGTGATCAGACTACAAATGCATCATTCCCATTTCCCAGTCCTTGGAAATCCACACACACAAGACTCTCAGTACTCGTCTAGAAGGACTGACAGTCCTGTTCTGTCCCTCAACAGCTTGAGTTAGTGAGAAAACAGCTGAACTTTGTTATATGGATCCTCCTTCCAATGGGAAACCAGCCAGGCCTGAATTCATGATGTTGAGAACCAGATTGACAAGATGCATTTAAACTCTCAGTTCCCCTTAAGCTCAGCAAGCATCAAGCTCTAAACTGCTTTCACAAACCTGACACCAAGTTGCCTCCACAACCAGGACTGGGGCATGTTCTCCCCCAAGGTATAGGGCCAGCCCAGAGTCTGGTTCATGGATCCCCTCCTCTCATGCACACTCTACCTTTCCTATTTATAGCCTAGACACAGGGAAAAAATGCTAACATCTCCCTAATTACTGTAATTATCACAGCAACTATCAAGTTGTCAGTACACATCCACTGCAATTAACACTGTTTTACTTTGCATCAATCACTTCTTACACAGCATCCTGGAGAGGGAGGATTTTCTGAAGGATTTCAGCTCCCACCCTCAAGGCTTTGTTACCATCTGCTCGTAGGAGACACTGACACAGCTACAATAGCTCCACCTAAGAGCCCATATAACTGCAAGCAATGAGTCTGGCTCAAATTACCACTGCATGAGGGCAGATTAAGGCAGCTATCACCATCTGTAATACAGGTGTTCATGGGGTCACCATAGGTCTCTAAGGTAACTTATTTCAGCTTGTCTAGCATGCAGTGTCCAACCTAGGATATAGGTTCAAAAGCAGCAAAGAGGCCAAATGATATAGACAGGGTTTCACAAGGTGGATGGAAGGAGGCATCCATGAAGGTATGAGAAAGGTTGAGAGCATCATCAGGAGTGCCACAGAGCTGAGGAGCAAGAGTGGCTTCATGTCACCAACTTCTCTCATGCATGTGAGAAAAAAAATCAGAAGCATAACATTGGAAGGAGAAAGTTAAAGGACAGCTGAGGAACAGCAGAAATTAATCAAAGGCATTCAATGTGGGTTATCTGCCCACATCACAATCAACACAACCTCAGCGAGCTGCGCATGACATCACCATCAGTACCTTAATGCCAGTCATAAGGGTTCAGCTCCAGCCCTGTCACAGGATTCAGGCTTTCCCTTAGGAAAATAGTCTTCAGTGCCTCAGTTCTGTTTCATTGCCCTGATCCTGGCCCTTCTAGGAAATAGAGTCTATATCCATTTTTATTATCACTCACATAACATTAGAGAAGATATCACAGAATCACAGAATGGCTTGGATTGAAAGAGACCTTAAAGATCATCATCTAGTTCCACCCCCAGCCATGGGCAGGGATACCTTCCACTATATCAGGTTGCTCCAGCTCCCATTCAAGCTGGCCTTGAACACCTTCAGGGATGAGGCAGACACAGCTGCTCTGGGCAACTTGTGCCAGTGCCCCATCATCCTCACAGGAGACAATCTCTTCCTAAGATTCAGTCTAAATGTACCCTCTTTCAGCTTAAAGAAAGTTTATGCACATTAAACAACACAAGGCAACTAGGCACTGTGGAAGGAGATAAATCCATCACTCCCTGAGACACACTAAAATCACATTACTGGAAGCACTGGTACAGCAAAGCCTCAGCAATAGCTCAGACAGAACTGTTCCAGTCAGGACACCTGCTGGTTTCAGGAGAGATTAATGATTGCTTCTTCACTAATAATTTTAGCTAGTCAAGTCACACCAGGATACTTGATGCTGGAAACTCGATGCTGGAAATTGCTTAGCCAGAAACCTGAGCCAGCTACCCAATCACCATTCTAATAGCATTAGGTATCGTGGATTGCAAAGCTGCACGTTGCATCGTGGCAAGAGCAGAGGCTCTTGTGCCAAAGAAGGGGGAAGACACTGAAATAGTCTCCCTGAGTTCAGGCAGGTCTCTTGGCCGAAGTCAAACACACTAACTCATCAACAAGGTCCAAAATGCAAGAACTCTTCTGGCTGGCTGCTCTGGAGAACACCTCTACTTAACACCACTCCAATAACCTTGCTAGAAGGAGTGCCCAAAAAGCACGTTATCCTGCGCAGAGCTCTATCTGGGCTGCTACCATGGTCCCTTGGGCCAATTCCCTCAGAAACACACCATGGCAGTGATAAAGTAGTCCAAACCATGTCAAGGAACTTCTTATTCACGCCTACGAAGCACTGTGCCAGACTGCAACTTGCCCCAGAGCCAGATTGCCCTTCCATTGCTCCTAAAGGGGGACAAGAAGCACGGGCTACCAGCAGAGAATGGGACAACCTAGCAGGAAAAGATCTCCAGACAAAGTTTCTCCCCCAATTACTTCTCTGCTGGTGATTCCCCCTTCGCAGACACTTGGAGCCATCTTCTCTGTGACTCAGGTCCCAATTTCCTCTACATTTGAAGCACAACATTTCCACTCACCCTCCCTAAAGGCAAGAACTGGCAATAGTAGCTTTTTCTCAAGCCCTGCTAAAGCTCTCTGGTATTTGTGGCTCAACAGCATGCTAGAACACTCAAGCATGAACTACAGGCCAGAAAAAGCAGGAATCCTACAGCTCTGAATAGGAAAAACAAAATAGAAGAGACACTCATGCATTAGCAGTTTCCAACTATTTCTTATCGGAGACAGATCCTGCATTTGGGCTTAGAATTTGCACTTTAAGCAATTAGGTTACTTGCAGTCAAGTGTATACAACTCAGAGAACTTTGGCACTAGCATTAGACAAGACAAATTATTGATAAAGACATTTCCATTCCTGAGCATGGAACAGCTTATTTTATCTCGAACAACATTTAATTTTTTTGGTGGTGGTGGGTTTGCTTTGAGTAGGGTTTTCTTTGTGTTTTATTTGCTTTGGGGCTTCTTTTTCCCCTCCCACTACTAATTCATACCTTTTCAGACTTTGAGCTGTCTTAGAGGCCTGAAGCAAAGCAGAACTAAAGAGGTCTCTGGAATTGCCTAAAAAACCCCAAGCCTCTGGTACACAGATTAAAACCCCAAATTACAAACTTCAATGAATCCTGCAATACATTACCTCAGACACTGGAAAGGGCTGTCTAGGTCTGTGGTAGAATCACCATCCATAGAGGGATTTAAAAGACATGTAGATGTGGCACTTGGGGACACGATTTAGTGGTGGCTTTGGCAGTGAGGGTTAATAATTGAAGCTGGTGATCTTAAAGGGCTTTTCCAACCTAAATGATTCTGTGATTTACCAGGATCAGTAATGCTACAAATTTCCATGCAGACTGACAGTCCCTCAGGCACGGCAGAGTCAAAAACAACATAGAGCACCATGAACCTCACAACCCTGAAGACAAAACTTCATGTGGTATTAAATATAGAATCATAGAATCCTAACAAGGTTTGGGTTGGAAGGGGCCTTATTAATCATCCAGTTCCACCCCCCTGCCATGAGCCCCAGGGACACCTTCCACTTGACCAGGTTGCTCCAAGCCCCATCCAACCTGGCCTGGAACACCGCCAGGGATGGGGCAGCAACAACCTCTCTGGGCAACCTGTGCCAGTGCCTCACCACTCTCACAAGGAAAGTAACAAAACATCAACCCAATTCCTCCCTGCACACTTTCTGTACACTTCATTACCCAAAGGTTTGCAGTAACACAGTCTACGGGAATTTGTTTGGTTTTTTTTTCCACTTTCATCTTTTCCTTATTGAGTTACAGCCTCAAGAGCAAGTGTAAACAAAGTGTAGTTTCCTAATCATTCTCCTAGCCTGCTTG